CAATTCTGCTGAGAGGGGAATGTGGAAGGAGTGATTGGAAAGGGATGTTGCATTGAGAGTGATGACCTCCGGTGTGCGAATACAGTCGACGCAACCCTGAACTCGCACGGAGGGAACAGGGTTGCTTCCTAGTTTTCTGACTCCGTCAGAGCCGGTTCCATGGGAGCAGTGTCAACCTCTGCTGCACGCCCCTTAGCGGAGGCTGCTGCCTTCTGCTTGTTGCAGTCCTCAGTCTTGTGTTTGGCTCCACAGAACATGCAAAGGTTGTTCTGGTGCCGGCGGTCTTTTTCTTCCTGGGTAAGATGGCCATCTTTGCCTAGCTTATCGGCATAGGGCTTAGGGGCGGTAGATTTCGGTGTGGAGCTGGAGTCCGAGGGAGATGTGTTAGACCCCTTGGATTTGGGGTTGGGGAATTTATTGTCCCGGTTTTCACGGGCAATTTCGGTCTTCCGGGTCCAGTAGCGAGCATCAAGTTCTTGGGCAAGGAAGCGCATATCATGAAGGTTGTTTGGCTTCCCATGGTGTGCCATGTCATCCTTGATACGGGTGCAGAGGCCACGGTAAAAGGCATGGTGGAGGGAGTTATCTCCGTACCTAATTTGTGAAGCATACTGGTTGAATTGGACCATATACTTCATGATCCGATCACCATCGCGCATCCGAAGGTGTTCTAATGCATCTTCAGCATCTCCGATAGCATCAAAAGGGCCGAAGTTGCTACGAAGCTCATCTAAGAAGGCTGCGTAGGAGAATTGCCAGGCTGGTGGATTCCGCGGATTGGGGTTAAGAATGTCTGGTTCGAACCAGTTGAGCGCGGTGCCGGCCAGGAATGAAATGGCGTAGTTAACCTTGTTAGCATCTGTTGCAAACACGGTAGGTCTGTCGTTGAAGTTCAACTGAAGGGAGACAATGAAAGCCTTTAGTTTGCGAGGGTCAGAGCCATCAAATGGTTCTGGTTCCTTGACCTTGGTACGGACAGTGGCTGGTTTAGGGTTGTTGAGGGAGGCGGAGACTCCTCATAACAGGTTCATGAATTCTAGGAACATGTCCTGCTGGTTTGGATTGTTACTTCCTGTGGGGCCGTCGGCGCTGCCTGGGCTATTGGGACCACCTGGTCCTCCTGGTCTCCCTGGTCCTCCTGGTCCACCTGGGAAAGGGTTTGGTGGATTGCCAGCCAGTTCCCGTCGGATGGGAGTATGAGTAGGGGTGTCTTCATCTCTGCCCTCTGAGTCTGGGCTGTCTGGATTCCTATGGTTGTTGCCCAGGGATAAGGGGTCTATTGAGGAGTCAGTTCGAGCACCATACATCAGGCTGGCCCGTCGGGCCCCGTTGGTTGGGATGCTGGTGGCGTTGAAAGGGTTAGGGGAATCATTGTAATTAGGTTGGCAGGCAGTGAAGCTAGAGTGATTGTAGGTTTCCCTACGGGAAGGTTGTCTCCCACTGGAGGCTGATCCGAACAGGCCTGGTTGTTCCTTTGAGGCGGATGCCGGGATGTCTTCCATGGAAAACATGTTTGGATGGGTGGGCTGCCTTTGTTCAGGATCGGTCTCTGTGGGTTCGGTAAATGTGGTGGACATGATAAAATTTTCGACTCAAGGGTTTGAGTTCGAATATACTGTTAGGAACGTGCCAATCGAGTGGGCTTGAGTGCACATGTGGAGTCCGGCGGAGTGCGTGGGCGTTGACGAAGCTATTGGCAACGTCACCCTTGAGTCGGAGCCCAAGGATCTGGATGGACAGAATGGAGTTCTGTCAGAGAAGTGAACAGGAGTATCCTTCGGAGCGGAATCCGACGGATGAGACAGGGAGGAGTGAGTACGAGGTGTAGATGGCTTATCCAAGTTGATATTCGAACTGAGTAGTTATGGTGATCTACACGGCTTTATATACTAATGGTAGCTAATTCCGAGTTGGGTTCTATTGGGTTCCGGTGTGAATATTCGCTACCGAGTTCGGGGTCTAGGTATTACAATGTGAAATACAGATGTGAAATGATAATGGTGAAATGAAATTAGTAGGTAATGGGAAGCGGCCGGAGTCCGGTGGGTAGTGTGATAGAATTCATGGTTGGTTGAGGTGACACGGAGGCCGGCGGCATGCACGTAACAAAGTCATATATTCATCTCACCCAAGATCACACTCATGTATGATCACTCTTTCTTTAAAAAAAATATTCTCTCTTAGTATGCAATCAATTTCATTAAATACAAGCTGATATAACTATAATTATAACACTCAGCATAATAGACAATCAAGACAAAGTAGAGCTAGTAACAGATAGAGATAGAGGCATACATATGCCTTTCAGTGCATCAATAAACTGGACTTTATTAGCCAATATTGCTATTAAAGTTTTTGATAAATTATTTCAAAGCATAAAATATCCTTATATAAAAGTATTAATTAATGTTTCAGATATTAGCTAATTGAAAACTAACATATAAAGTAATAGAAGGGTATCAGAGGTTCTAAGGCATCACATCATTTGAAATAGAGCATACCAGTCTTGTATTCCATACTTGACACTTCAGTCTTTCTTTTATGTGTGCAGACTATTGGACTTGTCTTATGCTTACTTAGTCTTACATCTGTAATCATGTTAAGGTTCTAGCTCAGAGATGATGTTGCTAATAGCTTCACCATCTGTGCACTTTATAGATTCTATTATGTGCATTCATTTCCCTCCATATTGGCATATTCCTAACAACAACCCAACCATATACCCTAGTATCTGATTGTATGCTAAACACACACTTTATATACCCTACTCTTTTTCTTATAAAAGTCATATTGATATAATGCCAATGGAATATGTGAGTGAACTGGGATGTTTAAAGAATTATGGTCAATAAAATACATGTAGAATTTTCTACTGAACATTTTCTCTCGCTGAAAATAACCACCAATATGGTGCAAACATTCAAACTGAAGATTTCAGTGCGAAATCCAAAAAGGGTAGGTCACGGTCGGCATTTGAATTTAGGTGAGGATTGCCGATAGCCATTGGCACTCGGGACTCGGGACTCGGACTCGGACATAGGAGGATCGAGACTGAGGCGTAGGACAATGGTGGTCTGGAATCAGTTGTCGCTGGCAAGGCAAGGTCGGTGCCGAACATAAAAAAGAGTGAAACGAATCGCACCCTGTTAACCTGCAGTGGCGTTGTAGCCATCCCGGAGTGTTGATGAGCTCCGAAACTCGGACGATGATGTTGTCAGTATTGGTGAGGAATATTGGCCACGAAAAAATGAGCGTGATTACTTGTAAGCGCTGGGATTAGCGAAGGAAATGGCCAGTGCTTGATGCCAATGCCATGGGGAGATGTTACGATGGAAAACGAGCGATGGTTCCTATCATTCATGATTTACGAAAGGATAGAAGCTCGAAAGGCTATCGAAAAAGGGCCAAAACAAAATAGAGGGTAGCGGAGTGAGAAAGGGATGACAATTGATATTGATCAGCATACTGCAAGGCTACTGGTACGGCGCGGCAGAAACGAAGGAGAAAAGGCTGGAGCAGGTCGTCGACGTGGAATTGCGAATAATCAGATTGTGGCTGAAAATTGCGGCCGGCAAAAGGAGATACCTAATTTGGAATAAAATGATGGGAAGTGGACGGATGTGCATATGGCGGCGAGGAGCAGGTTGACCTTGACTGGCTACCATGCTTGTCTCCTCTCAAGCAAACCTCAAAGACCTATTAGCTAATCCAAACCCTCCAACAATGCACGACGACAGCTGGCGCATCCGTCGCACCCAATCACAGCGCCCCGCCCTCCGCCTAGACATTGGCCATCCCAACGTCGCCCCAAACGTTCCCAAGATTCGTCCACTCCCAGCCCCACCACCGTCGACGATGACGACGACGACAACGACGACGATGAGCATCTTTAGCTCAGCAGCTTCGACACCGACAACCGCTGCTTCCTCCGCTTTTTCGCCCGTCCTCCGTCCCCTTCCACCCCCGCCACCGTTGCCGACAATCAAACTGCCCCCAATGACGCCCACGACGCCCACCAGAACGCGAGTCGCACCCCGTGGTATGCGCACGAAGCGGTCCCGCTCAGAAAGCAGCAGTGCCCCACGAGCCCAGGCAGAACTTGCATTTGATGCCAAAGTCGGCTCATGGGTCGTCGTTCCCAGTCGCCGTCCAACAGAGGTCGTCGTCGCCCCTCTCAACGTGCAAAAGCTCTCAGTGTCCAGAGGAGAGGTCGTGTTGTCTCGAAGTGCCAAGGGCAAAGGGAAGGGCAAGGCGCGTGCCGTTGACCAGATGGAGTCGCTCTCAGAAAACGAGCCGCATCCTCTACAGGGTTTGTCTCCTTATTCCCGCTCTATCTCGAGAAAGTCGCCTTCCTCCTACAGACCTTATCCTCATGCTCTTCCCCCCTTGCCTACCACAGACAACCCGCCCCCTCTCCCAAAAAAACCTACCCCCGACGTCATCTACGAGTACGGCGCAGCTGACGACGTTCCCTCAGACACTTCTTCTACCTCTTCCACCGAGAACGAGCTCTACCGTTCTTACGTTGACGACGGCTTTGACCGTAGTCGCTCTCCCTCTCCCATCCAATATGCTCGTCGCAATTCCATTGAGGGGCTCTACGATGACGATGACGACGATGATTATCTCCTCCCTAGTAACAGGCGCAGGAACGCTGCCCGCAGTGCAATTCTTGAACCACTTGTCTTCTCCGACAACCCTTCCCCCGTTGATGCCTTTGACGATTGGGACGTTGACGACCATCCACGACGAGGCAGACAGTCCGAAATCGGCCATGGTTCTACTCATTCTTTCACCTCCTTCACCCAGACCCGCGGTAGAGCTCGTTCTGCAGAGAGTGTCCTGCACTATGTCGACATGGAAATATCATCTCCTCCTCACTTCACCTGGGAAGGAGAGGAGGATACAACCAGAGGGCGTCCCAGGGACCGCAAGAAGGACAAGGATAAGAAGGGCGCATTTGGCTTAAGAATATTTGCTGATTAGAGGTGTGCTGTCTTCAACATCTACCAGGCCCTGTCTAACTTGCATCCCACTAGCGCATTACAACTAATTTTATGCTTCGTACATACATACATACTCATACCCTCCTCGTACATAGATCAACAACCCCAACACCTCATTTTGGCATTTACATTATTGTTCGTCGACCTAGTCACCTACTCGACATACGCCGCCTTCCTCCGGAAGCACTCCGCAAATCAAAATCAAAATACGAAACACGAAAATCCGGCAGAACATTTCCGGTACATACTTGATGCGCCCCGCTGCGGCTTTTTCTTAGCTTCGACCTCCACAACAGTCACTTTGACGCTAGCCCTCAGAGGCTTTTCCCGTCGCAGCCCGCAGGTCCTCCTGGAAATGGGAGATTTGTCTTCTGTCTGAGGGGATATCCTGTCCGTGGCTCAAAGGAGATATCCAACAGCATACCCTATGCCTAATGTATGTCTGAAACACATATCAATGAAATTACCCGACGGGCTCGGGTGATGCTAACGTTTATTCCGTTGCCATTCATCAAGGAACATTGAGGCCTTCAAAGGGCACAAGAGTTGCACTGTCATGGAGGAATCTTCCGACTTTGGACGATCGGCGGAACGGTCGATCTTCGTGCAAGTAGTTCCCGGAAAATATACACGGTACGGATATACTTTGTGGATCTGCACATGGTCTGACACGGATGTAGCATCGGATCTACGTCTATGTCACCTCTCAATACATTCACTGACGATCTCATAAGCGCTGGACACTAGTTGTGCGTTCTTGGATCGGAAAGCGCTGGCGTGGGGATGATGGGCGAGTCACTCAGGGAGGGTATAAACGCTCATCAGATTGATTAGTTCTATCAAGAGATTGGTGGCTTGTGCCCTAACTATACTTATGGATATATGGCGTGATATTATTGGACGAAATGGTATGCATTCGCCACTCGACAATCCGTAATTACTCTGAGCAAGTCCATCAAGCAAATGGAGGAATGAGTAAATATTACTATAAGTGACTGTACCTAAGCTCGAGTCCTGCAGGGCCCACTGCCTCGCCGGATTCCCACAAGTTCCTCACCGCGCTTCGGTTGACAAGGCCCGTTTGATATTCTTAAACACGGAGTCTCGAGAATTCCGTTAGGTCTCTCTATTTCTCTCTTTCTCAGGCTACAGATCTAGTCTCTGCATTGCACTAAGGCAGCTGGGGTCCCGCAATGAAAGCTTGAGTCTGAGTCTCAGACCGTTGGCAACTGGTCTGGTATATGCCCATCTGAAAGATAAAGAGTCCAGAAGTTTCATGGCAGCATCATTGACCTTGCATGTCTGACTTTCCTTTTCTTGGTACAGATCTTTTGTACTGATTCTTGAATTTCAATCCCATTCCACCACAATCAATGAGCAGTCCCCTGGGCACCGTCAGATATCAAGAACGTCGAGCGGGGATTTGAGTAGGATAATCGCTGATGATTCCAGATCAGTAACCGCGCACAACTTTGAAGTGTCTGGACTTAGAATTGCTTGGTGCACGTCCTAACAATAATTCCATCAGAATTACAAATCCTCTCTGCTGAGCGAGCCTGCATCTCTTTGAGTAATACGGTGTTCGTGTACAATTGCGAGTGCAGGATGTCTGGTTATGTGAATACACGGTAGTACATCCTCTTCCTACTCCTGTTATTACCAAGGAGTCCTGCTTCCATCGACGTTGATGAACTCCCCTCCATCTTTCTCCCTCGTTGAACCATCGATAATATCAATCAGGCTCACCGCCGCATCCTCGGATTCCATGGCTATCGCATCTTGGATAGGTGCCAAGGATCCAGTGGTATCCATCTCACGGTTTGCGCGCGCTACAGTTTATGAGTAACGAACTGATGATGTCGAAAACATAGAGACTTACACATATCTGTTTTGACAATTCCAGGGGCCAGTGGGAAACAAACTGCCGAACGACTGATCAGCTTCCACCTAAACCACAGTAGCCATATTTACCCAGCCAATCATTCTCAAAGTGGATCTTCCTGGCGATGTAATTGAGGGCCGCTTTACTAGCGCCGTAGCAGGTGTATCCCGCAGGGAGTTCGGTGAATGCGGTTAGGCTAGTAGCCGCGGATGAAATTGGAATGAACCTTGGCGTGGCGCTCCTGCGCAAAAGAGGCGCGAGTGCCTGGAAAAGAAGGAGAATACCCGTAGTATTAATTTCAAAATGCTCTTGTAACACACTCGGCGGTGTATCGAGGGCAGAACCCATATACGTAGCGATTCCTGGTGTGAGATATTGAAAGAAGAGCACAATTGACATGCATAACAGAATACCTACCCGCACATGCAACATCAACCTTTCCGAACCTCCCTTCAATATCCTTGGCCAGAGCAGTGTTTCCGTCGACGTCGCCTGAAATGTACTTGAGGGAATAGACGTTCTGGGCACCATGTTTGAAAATAGATGGATCGCGAACTGCAGCAACAATTGTCACATTCGGCTTCGTGGAGAGGGCGTTTACAAGGGCGAGGCCTGCAGTTCTCAGAAAAACGATAGTAGTGCTGGTTAAATATAACTACCAATGCCATGGTTAGCGCCAGTGATGAGATACACAGTGGTTTTGGGGTCGGTAGACATGATGGGAGGAAATGTAGAAGTCGATGGGCTTTCGGAAGAATTTAAGTCACAGCGGAAGGGAAGCTCTTGGTATCTGGGCGTCCGGTATTACTGGGCACATCGGTCAAGGTACGCCATGAGATGGGCTTCTGCTACACGTTCCTGCAAGATTCGCAGGGTGAGAGACCTCAGAAATACCTAGAACATAAGCACATGTCTATAATCGCCACTTCAAGAGGACCAGGACGTTCTTTAATTGAAGGTTGTGGGAGTTAAACGTGCGAATGGAGTCGCTCATCAATCGATCAAGTGGGCGCTTGTCCTCAAGGTATGGCCGGACAACGCGGTTACGTCTGGCACTGAATCAATCATGAGACGTTCGCTAGTGCGACGAAGAGTAACAGTAGAGTAACTCGGTAAGAATTAGGCGATATCAGAGCTAAAGTACACTGGTCAAGGTAAAGCCAAAGTATCGAATCTTCCACTGACTCCAGTCATTCCACAAGTCGACGGTGGCTAGAGCATACATAGGTCGAATCAAGGATATTGCCATGAAGCAATTTGGTTGGATGGATATGAAGATTGAGCTTGATGGACAAAGCGGTCACTGGCAAATCAAGAATGTGTCCGGGCCACTCGTCAAATAAAGACGGCTTTGCAAACTAGGGTCTGACTCGATGAGTTGCGTCCTTTTATGCGATTCCAATCGGTCTTTTTAATTCGTAGATCCTGGAACCTCAGGGCAGCATCCTTGGACGGGAGATTTCTTTATCTGCACTGACTTCATTGATGTGCCTTGTCGGCTTTTTGAGCTCTACATTCCTGCCGCTCGAAGGTTTACCATCCAATTGGATTACCCGGATAGCAGATGGCCCGACTCCCGGTCTCTACATGCTTTACAGGCTAGCATCCGCTACTGCTCCGATCTTCCGGCCTTTCTCGCATCCTACGCCCAACCAGACGTCGTTGAACAGTAGTTGAACGAGCCGTGAATTCGTAGCAGCCTTGATATGTCCATCTGAAACCTCTTTCCTTGTGCGCGCCGGTTATGGTCCTTGATTTCCTCTCCTCGGGGTAAATAAGACCCAAAGGAGAGTAGAAAACGCCACCAAAAACTTCCCCCGTCGAACCTGGGAGTATGTGGTATAGTATATGTCATTTGAGGTTATTGTTCCGTGGCTGATTTGTTCTGATTGTATTCTCATCGATACGCATTGTATTCCTTACTGGATATCCGAACTCTACATTCCCATCCGTGTCTTGTCCTGTCCAATCAGTTGTCAGATAACAAGAGCTACGTTCCGACGGCAGACAGAAGTATTCCTCCAATGTTCTGCCGCATCCGTGTTTGTTTCCTGAACCTGATCTTGTCAAGCAGTTGTCTCATGTTTCAATATTCTGAAAAGGGGTAATACATAGATGAGAGTTTTTTTCAAGCCTGTTGAATCTCCAAGTTTACGTTACTCAGGGACGGTTCGTCATGATGACTGACGACGAGACTTGCATTTGAGAGGTCGCTCTTTTGCAAGCAGAGAGAATCCGTTGGTCGTCAGGATAGGCCAAGCATTGAATGACCACCTTGTAAATGAGAATTCAAGTTATTATATATGTACAAAAGAAGCCCATCACGTAAAAGGAAGGTCCGTTATGACGTTCATTTGCGTGTCTGCGCCGCGTGATCTGCAGCATGGATAAATGCAGACGGCTCTGCCTTTAACCACCACTATCTCGTCGTCGCCGCCTTGTACAGTGCTCGTCGACGTGCTTGATGATGGCGACCCCAGATCTCTTTAGATCCCATCTTATTGCCCTCCTCTCCGTCTACTCTCTTGGTCCATCTACCGTCCCACTGCCCAAGTACAATGGGCCCACCGACTGGCAGACCGAGTCTATTTTACGCTCCTTAGCAGAGTTTTCAACACGCATGTATGCTGCGGAGAACACTTTCCATAACGCCGACAAACTGGAATGCCAGAAACCAGAACCCAAGCCGTCCCCGACTGCCCAGGAAACCGATGCCAATTTCTCATCCAAGGCGCGCTGTTTAGGCCCGACGTCTATTAATCTCGATGATCTCAGGACCTCACAAGACCCCTCTTCATTTTTTAGCGAAAGCTTTCTGGGTGTCCCTGTCGAGGGAGCTGCTACTGCCTCTGCTCCACCTACTTCTTCTCTGGAGTACGTATTGTGTCCGAGATGTGGTACTCGGACCACTGATCCCCGCACGATCCGCAAGATATCCTCTTTTTCAACACGCATATCCTCTGGCTCGCCTTCCGTTGTCGCAATTGGTGGTCCTTTGGATATCGCGGCTAGAGTGAGCGGGATGAGCGCAGTCGAAGAGCTTAAACTCCTCAAAGATCAAGTTCAAGACGTCGCCCGTGTCTGCAATGCCGTCGCCAACGGCGATCTCAGTCAGAAGATCACTGTCGAGGTTCGAGGAGAAGTCATGGTGAAACTGAAGGACGCTATCAACACCATGGTGCGTCCTCCTTGTCTTCAATTTGCTTATTCGTCTCATTCTCGTCAGGTTGAGAAACTAGGTCAATTCGCAAAGGAAGTTACACGTGTCTCTCAAGAAGTTGGAACAGAAGGGTTTGTATTGATATTCCTTACTCAATTTACTTACTAATTTTTCTCTAAGGAAACTCGGTGGCCAAGCATTCGTCCCAGGGGTCGAAGGCACATGGCAGGAGCTTACGGACGTCGTTAATATCCTCGCCGGTAATCTTACCAGTCAAGTTCGGTCCATTGCTCAAGTCACTAAAGCCGTCGCCGTTGGAGATCTTTCTAAACAGATCGAGGTTGACGCGAGGGGTGAGATTCTGGATCTCAAGAACACTGTGAACGGAATGGTTGTTCGTCTCCGCGCATTAGCTGCCGAGGTCACGAGGGTGACGCTAGAAGTCGGAAGTCAGGGCAAGCTCGGGGGGCAGGCTAATGTTCCGGATGTAGAAGGGGTGTGGTTTGAGTTAGTGAAGAACGTTAACCGCATGTGTTCGTCGCTGACAGATCAAGTACGGTCAATTGCTTCAGTCACGACCGCCGTTGCCGAGGGCGACCTGACGAGGAAGGTAGAGATCGAGGTCGAGGGCGAAATGCAGCAGTTGAAGACGACGGTCAATTCCATGGTGGACGACTTGAATGCCTTCGCTGGCGAGGTCACTCGTGTCGCTTTGGAAGTTGGAACGCAGGGTATCCTGGGCGGTCAAGCGACGGTTGAAGGTGTGAAGGGAACATGGGCGGACTTGACGAAGAACGTGAACAAAATGGCGACCAACTTGACAGACCAGGTTCGGTCAATATCCAAGGTCACCAAGGCGGTGGCAATGGGAAATTTGACCCAGCTCGTTGATGTTAACGCCCAAGGTGAAATGTTGGATCTTAAAATCACCGTCAACAGAATGGTGGAGGCTCTCAGCGTCTTCGCGAGCGAAGTTACGCGAGTTAGTTTGGAGGTCGGCACAGAGGGAAAATTGGGAGGTCAGGCCGATGTTCCAAACGTCGTTGGGACTTGGAAAGTACGCGTTCATCCCAAATTATCTACTCAATACATGATAACTCATCTCGATACAGGCTTTGACAGATAACGTGAACCTGATGGCGATGAATCTCACAAACCAGGTACGGTCGATCGCAGCAGTAACCAAAGCTGTCGCTGGTGGCGACCTGTCGAAGCGCGTGGAAATTGATGTAAAAGGAGAGTTCCTAGAGTTAAAGGAGACCGTGAATCAAATGACTTCGTCACTGAGTGTCTTTGCGGATGAGGTATGCCTTTTCATCAATTATCCATGTCATATATGAACGCAGTATCTTCATCAGGTTACCAGAGTGGCCAGGGAAGTGGGTACCGAAGGCAGGTTGGGTGGTCAAGCTCAAGTGAAGAACGTTGCCGGAACATGGAAAGCTTTGACGGATAATGTCAATGTTATGGCTAGTAACGTATGTGCTCTATGTCTTTGTCACCCTCAAATCCTCATTTATCGCTCTACAGTTAACAAACCAAGTGCGAGCTATTGCGATTGCTACAGTGAGTCCTCAGTTAAAATGCCATCCTCGCCACATTTATGATTTGTTCATTCTGTAGTCGGCTGTGGCGCATGGAGATCTGACGCAAAAGATTGTGGGCCTATCCGTGTCGGGAGAGATGTTAGAGCTGGTCGAGACGATCAATAAAATGATCGACCAGCTGGATATCTTTGCCGTTGAGGTGAAGAAGGTAGCTCGGGAAGTGGGAACGGAAGGTAAGCTGGGTGGTGTCGCGGATGTGGGAAACGTCCAAGGTATCTGGCAAGAGATAACGTACGTATCTTTCTCTGTTCACACACAGTTCCTCAAGCGAACTAATCTAAGGCTTTCTGTGAATGCAATGGCAGGAAACTTGACAACTCAAGTCCGTGGGTTTGCCCAGATCTCAGCTGCTGCCATGGATGGCGACTTCACTCGGTTCATCACTGTTGAAGCCAGTGGCGAAATGGATTCGTTGAAGTCGCACATTAACAGCATGGTGTTCAATTTGCGAGATAGCATCCAAAAGAATACTGCGGCGAGGGAGGCCGCCGAGTTGGCCAATAGAAGTAAGAGTGAGTTTTTGGCAAATATGTCACATGAGATCCGGTAAGAGATTTTTCCGTTGGCCGTTTCTGTTACTCAAGGAAAATGTTTAGGACGCCCATGAATGGTATTATCGGCATGACAGAGCTGACTTTGGATAGTGATCTCAACCGATCGCAGAGGGAGAGTCTACTTCTTGTCCACAGTCTCGCGCGATCACTGTTATTGATCATTGATGATATTCTGGACATATCGAAGAGTAATCACTTCTTTTCTGCCAACGCACTTCATTCTGATACTGATGCTTAATAGTCGAGGCTGGGCGTATGACCATGGAAGCCGTTTCATTCTCCCTACGCCACACAGTTTTCGGTATGCTCAAGACGTTAGTCGCACGTGCGTCGCAGAACAATCTGGACCTAACTTTCGACATTGCGCCCGACATCCCCGATCATCTCATTGGTGATTCACTACGGTTGCGCCAGGTGATAACAAACCTTGTGGGTAATGCGATCAAATTTACGCCTCCGAAAATTTCCCGCAAGGGACTTGTTGCACTGAGTGCACGACTGGTGGCGTTGGACGACCACAACGTGACACTCGAGTTTTGTGTCACCGATACTGGGATTGGTATCCCTAGGGCCAAGTTGAACATGATCTTTGACACGTTCTGTCAAGCGGATGGATCTACTACCAGGGTATGTTCGTCTCTCTTATGACGTATTCTAATCAATACTTTCAATAAAGGAATACGGGGGGACGGGACTTGGATTATCGATATCGAAGCGCCTAGTGTCACTGATGCAAGGTAATATGTGGGTGGAGAGCGAGGTAGGCAAGGGAAGCAGGTTCTTCTTCACGATCAGTTCTCGGATAAGCCATATATCAATGGAAAACATCATGGCAAAGATGACGCCGTTCACGAACCGAACAATATTGTTTGTTGACACTTTGGGCGACAAAACCGGGGTAGTAGATCGAATAGCGCAACTTGGCCTGAAACCCCACGTTGTACGTTCAGTGACAGAAGTTGCCAATGAGTCACAGTGTCCGCATATCGATACAGTTGTCGTGGATTCCCTTACCGTTGTATGTATTGGGCATTGTCCTCAAGACTGTAGCTAACGGCTCCTTAGACTGAGAATATCCGCGAGCTGGACCACTTCAGATACGTACCCATTGTGCTGCTTGCACCTTCTGTGTCTCGGCTAAATCGTATGCTTGAACTAATTCCGCTGTTATGTGCCCTTCTCATCCTTCGGCAGTGAAATGGTGTTTGGATAATAGCATTACGGCGCAGCTGACGACGCCGGTAACGCCCCAGGACCTTTCATTTGCCTTAATAGCTGCCCTGGAGTCCAACACGGTGAACCCTGTGACCGTGCAGAGTGACCTGCGTTACGATATCCTACTCGCGGAGGACAATTTGGTAAACCAGAAGCTCGCGGTGAAGATTTTAGAAAAATACGGGCACTCCGTTGCAATTGCGGAGAATGGAAACCAGGCAGTTGAGTTGTACAAGAACAGCGTGCTGCAAAACAAGCCGTTCGATATAATACTGGTGAGCGTACATTTATTTCGATCACCTTTTTACCTTCTGATAGAGAGCAGATGGATGTGTCAATGCCGTTCATGGGCGGAATGGAGGCAACAGAAATCATCCGCTCGTATGAGTTACTGACTGGATTGTCACGGATACCGATTATAGCGCTGACGGCGCACGCTAGTGGGTAGCAATTGTGTCTCTCGCTGAATTTATGCTTACGTCTATGCAGTGATTGGTGACCGTGAACGATGCCTGCAGGCAGGCATGGATGACCATATCACGAGTAAGATTTGTCTCAGCGTTTCGCTAACGCTAATCATGGCCGACAGAACCACTCCGTCGAGGAGATTTGCTCAACGCAATACATAAGCTTGCGTCTGAAAAGAACCCCTCTCGTAATTTGCTACGGCGAGCGCCTGCCACGATCTGAGCAATGTGCTCCGAATACCCGATCTATCAGTGATTTTGCTGTGTGGATGTATAATTTCTGTACCGTTATCGCTATGTTTTCCTTCACATGATACCATAATACACATCCGTGACTCACTACGTCTGGGCCACAATAGACTTCACTTTCTGAACGGTTTCTGGATCGACTTGGTTCCTGTAGAAGGTGTACCCATCTCTACCCTTCATGACGATTTCCATCAAGTCACTCAATATGGATGGGAGCTCTGTAATATCACCAACGGGATTCTTCAAGACCTTTTTCTCCTTGTCGTAACCCTGCACGCCGACCTCCTTCATGTCGGTGCCAACCGCAACCAAGAGCCGATCGATGGGCTTCCCGATGACAGGATGCTCAATCCTCCATGTATTCCCGAAAGAGCCTGTGTCAGGGAGATCCAATGCTTGGTAGGCGAGAGCCATCATGTTGGCATAGTCCTCCTCTGAGAGAACGAGCACGTTGCCGTTGGCGTCGATGGCGACTTTATCTTTGAATACCGCGAGGGTGAAGTCGAAATGCTCTACCTGGCTGTTGCGCAGAACGACGAGGGCGAGGTTGGCGCGGGCGGGGGAGTATGAGTCGGGATAAGGGTGAGACTGGGCACGTGTGCGCCAGGCTGTCAGGTCGGAGGAAGAAGGAAGGAGGGCAGACATGGATTGGCGAATCTGGGGTTTGAAATAGTAGATAGTGCAGGTACCCAGGAGTACGCAGAACAAGAGCGAGCGCAGCATTATTATTCTGTAGCGGACAAGTGCTCTTTATAGCTTTCCGGTAGGTAGCACATGCTGCTCCACATGTAATCGGGCCACGAGTACAATCTGAGGAAAGATAAAGAACTTTCCGCCAAGTGGGTTAGATTCTTGAGATACGTACTGGGGTTGAAGCATGCTTGAATTCAAAAGAGGGCCACGTAAACACGCTGGTGCCGAACGGCTTTCATTCTCTCGCAGTAGCTCATTCTTAAATGAAGCAACACGCCGTTCAAAGACTACAAAATGAAAGGAAACATCGCTTTCCTTCCTCGAGGATATTCCTTCTCAAATTCCTTCTTGTAGTTTCTATGTTTAGCCAGCGCCCAGATTGCCATTTGACCAGCACCTGCCACAGTGAAAAAACATGTCGCCCAGCTCCTCGACATAACGCAAACGACGATCCAGCCTAAAACTTCAAACATGTAGTTGGGACATGACACCAATCCAAACCCGTAGCCCTTCGGAATTCCCCGCTTCTTTGTTCCTGCGGGCCGCAAACTCCGAAGAGTCAAGTGTGTTGACAGGTTGGATAGTTCGAAGAACTGTTGGTGAAGTGAGAAAATGGAGAGAAGCAAGAGAGGCATTACGCACTGTCCACAATCCAGTGCATGCCCAAAGAAAACGTTCATCTTCCATGACGCTTCCTTTGATGAACGCAGAGTCAGCCGAGTATTTACCTCGATATGCGTCGAGAGCCATCAATAATCCTAGAGGATCCTGAGGTCCTGTATAGGTGACACGGAACGCAGATACGTACCACCGAGAACGTGGTAGTGGAATGAGCTACGTAGAATGGGTAAGTACCATGGCATCCAAAGGGACAATCACGCACTTTTTGAATATGTTTCTAGCTGGCATAGTGCCATGGGAGAACCGATGAACGCTAGTTAAATGCAATGAGACTAGTTCCAAGATCCCGGTACCCAACTCACAACAAAGTCTCCAGCTCACGTTTGGCGTAGTGTAGCATGACAAAGGTGAAGATAAATCTTAGTAGCAATGAGTCAATGAGTGGGGCAGGTGCTGCTAGAAAAACGGGCAATACCTTTGTAGTTCACTGTGCACCACCGCTTGTCCGTAGAACCATTCGGGGAAGTAGTAGAAAAGAGGATGGATAAGCATAGGACCAAGCTAAGATAGAATATGAGACTGCCACAGTAAGGAAATGCAGCACCCACATATTCAATGATAAACACCAGCTTCCAGCTCAGTTGGGGCCCCAAGTCCTTCACCTCCAAGTCGCCTCCGCTCCCCAAGCCAACATCCGCCAACTTTATCTCATCCTCGAGAGCTTTTTTCTCATTCTTTAGGGTTATCTTTTGCCTCGACACATAGAACTGCCATTTTGTCGGTACTATCATGAGATGCAACACATATAGGTCTCACCTTGGGGATTTTGTGGGCAACCTCGGCCTTGATGTCACCCACAGTAGTTTTGGAAGAGACATCGACTGTGAAAGGAAGGCCTTTGCGAGCAAAAGCAGGAGGCCTGTTGGCTACAGCAGATACGGTGACCGACACCATTGCTCCAACGTATGGTATGAAGCGAAAAGGGAATCGTAATCATGTTTACGTGTTCAAACTAATATCAAAATATTACTAAGTACTAACAGGTACTGACCATCTGGCATCGATAATGTGACTGAACATTATTTATTCACGTGTAAAGAGCTTACTCCGAAGAATGGGACTATAGGTTTTGTCATACGTCTTTTTTTTTTTGCTTTTCAATGCGAGAGTCTCAATGCCAAGTCCTTCAGATTCACCTTGAATGGGAACAGATCTGAAAAAGTAATCTTAATAGTTTTTGTGAAAGAAATTGGCGGCATGACAGATAATACAAGTATTGTTGTTCACATCTCGTCCCAGATGCCTTCCTGTAAGTGATCTTCTGGAAAAATATGCCTGTATCGTCCAAGTCACAACGAAACTGCGTCTTCTATCACATGAACTAGCTTTGATCACGTTGAGCCAGGGCCGCTTAGATAGTTAGTTCATCGTCTATCTACCAGAGAACCATGGCAGAATAGTTTAGAGACGAACCCAGAAGTTAGAACGCCGTCAGAGTTTGACTTGAAAAGAAATTAACAATGATGAATTGGCACTGTGCCATCAACCCGCTCCTTAGAATCAGAGGTGTGAACTTTCAACTGTGGCTACAATCATCACTACTACAAACTCCACAAGCAACCTGAATCTCCTCAGAGACAGAGGACCAGATAAATATGGCAAACCTATCAAGAAGAACTTTCGAGCTACGAGAAGGAGTTCCTTGTCGCCGTGCTGAAACCGTGGCTATGCTGAGGAGTGCTGGGACCGACGCGCCAGATCTTATAAGGGAGGTGGAGATCGTCCTGAGAAGCAGCATCTGAAGAAAGTTCGGGACAGATTCTTCAGCAAGCTCAGGGAGGATAATTTGAGGGTCTCTGATGGGAAGAGAATGAAGCAGGAGCAAGATGAGTTCGCACAGTCATTTCAATGGAACGGGCATCAGTTGCGGTTGTATGAGTTCAATTTCCGCGCGGAGGAAGATAGCGACAGGGAGATATTGTATCCTGATGCGGTCACTGTGCAAACCACATTCCTCATCATCTCGGACCAAGAATAACGTTGCTAATAGCAAGAGAGATCTGATGCTAATCCCATAGCAGAGAGTGCCTTAAAACAATGCACGGAAACAATCAAGGAATATCATCAGGACGCATACGTCGAGACTCTCAGTCTTCAGAAGTATCTGAAAGCGATACCGCAGGAGGAGAAGCAGGATGTAGCAGCTACATCACGGGCAAGGTTTGAGGACGAGATGAGGAAATTGGTGTCTCACAAGCGGGAGGAATGTCAGTTAAAAATCTCGCAGAGGCTAAAGAATGAGGTGGACGAGGACCAGAAACGGGGGGGAGGAAAGAAAAAAAGAACGCCAAAGACCGACACTACCTCAGAACTGGGCATGAACAGATTCCAAACATTTTGTCGAATAACTGTCATATATAGCTTCCAGCAAAGAACAAATTCGAGTGTGATTGGATCAATGACTGGGAATAACGTATGGGGTTATTAGACGTTACAGATGGTACCCGAAGTCGTCGAAGTATATCCCTTGTACAACTCGATCGACCTGATCTCTGTGATTGAATCAGCTGTAGGGGGTCCATTGGACCAGTATGGGTCACCGCTGCTCCAAGCATTCCAGATCCAGTAGCCACTGTCCCAAGGAACCTGCAGGGAGTCATGATAGGTTGGTTTTTATGAAGCATTGGACCTACATTGTCCGAAAAGTTGTTTATCTGAATACCATCGATGTAAAAGGTTGTTGCCAAAGGAGACCACTGTGTGTGTGTGTCAGAGTGGCGATAGACGACATAATGAAAGAAGATGACAGACATCGATACGATATTCTACATAACACACGATGGCTGAGCACAAAATTTTTCTTTTACTATATACCATCTGACTCACCATGAAAGTCCTGAGATGGATCGAATGTGAATTCGACGTTGTCAGTAGTTTTGGTCCCGCCCTCAACCGTAGCCTGGAAAAAGTCTGTGATCCATAGTCCACATGTTTTCAACAACACACCACTAACCTGGTTGGTCATCCAAACCCCCGCAGAAACATAATCGTTCCCAGTGAGAGTCGTGGACGTTAAGATTTCGATGTCAGTCTCTTGTGTGTCACTCACTAATAAGAAATTGGTCAAAGCTACCAGGGACGAGAGGAAACTGACAGTAGAAGAAATTTCCCTCGCAGACCCCAAATGTAGCGCTGGATTTGAGTACCGTCCGGACAGAGGCATATGCAAAGGTATCATCTGTCACGACTTCAGCAGATTCGACACTGCCGCTCCCGCTGTAAGAGGTGACTTTCAACTGAAGAACACCGTTCCCAAGGAGAACATTTGCGGGAACAAAATCGTGTGCAACTGGAGTCGAAGCAACGTTATAGTTACTGATGGAGAGACCGTGCTGTCTGTTCGGGTGTCACAGAATACACGAATTGATCGATCAATCTGAATACCCACGAAAGAAAGTTTGCAGCATCCCCACTAGACTGGGCAGAAGTGAAGTCGACAGAGACTTGTTCTGTGAACCCACCAGAGATTCCTGAGAGGACATAAGTATCGCAGGAGTCCCGGCGAGAAGAGAGGGCTTGCTTTCCCAAGGCGCTCGGTATGAGAAGAGAGACAGCTGAAGCGAATGTGAGAAGATTCATTGTCGTTGGGAAAGACTTGTACACACCCGGTTGCCCTTTTATAATGCATTGCACGACTCGAGATTAAAACCAGATGGTTATCATATGCGAATTGAAAGGGTTTCATGACCATATGCAATGGATTCCAGAGTTACATAGCTAAGCCATTTGCAAAATTACGGATGCTTCGTGAATGCACAAACAGTCACCGCCCCGACTGGCAGCAAGTTTTTGCGATTAGACCATAGGGTATTGAATCGATTGCGACTTTCCGTATGATCCTCAGTAAACGGTCTACTTAGTACAAAGAACTAAGACTTACCTAGGTAGTAGATGGCGATTGATGTGATTGCAGGTTACGACCATCAATGCAGATTCGAAATACCATTTTGGCGTTTTGCTCTGCATCACTTGATTCCTTCGGGAAAAGAGCATGCTTAGGATCAGGCGACTGCCCTGCTTGCTTGCCAAGAGATCTGAGAGTCTGTCTAGGGAAGATTCCAGGTCCGCACCAACGTGGATGACGGGGCTGAACCGGGCTGTGACTGTACCTTCTCCTCTTCCATCATGTCTCCTCCCTCTTTCTTTATGTTCTGAGGATAACGCCCTTGTCTCTTGCGTCTTTTTAAAATCTCGCAATAGCTACCTTTGTAAAATATTCCAGACGTTTAGACATGGCGACGGTGACATAAAGTGGAGCAGGTTCACGAAATCAAGACTGCCTCGTCGTTCCTAGTGCTAAGTGTGTATCGTAACAATACAACTGTACAATTGCCTTACACTGAACAGAATTTTCACGAAGCGCTCTCGATAGTGCGCAAGATGCCATGATTTGTCTTGGTTGTTACTGCATTCTCGAAGCCTCGACCCGCCAAGCAGCCGCCTACTTTGATGCATCCAGGTGTATCATATTAGCGGTAACCAACAATCCTTGCAGCCGTTCTTGTGCTCTAAATCATACCGCATATGACGTGGCCAAGATGGCTTCATCGGGTCCTGTGCTTTACAATAATCTCTTCTAACTGTTACTTAGATAGAATCAAATTTCTTCTAGTTTATCAAGCAGACCGTCCAAAGACTGCTCCAGGCAAAACTTTTAAGGATTAACCGAGACATGCAAGCAGCCGTGTCATACATTAGCCGCGTTAGGCCCTCGTCAGTTGTCCGAGGCACATAGGCTGTTCTTATCAACGATCCAGAACTTGTAATGGATTCACGAGACTGAAGGTTGACAGTTCACCTACGTCCTCCCTCGATTGTCTCAGTAATGGTCAATCTAGAAGGCTAGAAGGCTGGAAGGAAGGACACAAGCTTCACGTGACCAAGTAGAGTGAGGTGCTTCTTCTATACAATGTCGGAACCTCCAATGATTGGAAATTATTGAAATCATGTCTGATCAAACAAACGGGTTTTTTTTTCCACTTTGCTGACCTCCTACTTTTCTTCTTTCGTTGATGTCTGTACATCGACAGATTTTGGAGAGTTCACAAACGTGAGAGTTTACAAGTAACTCTCGTGTCCGGAAATAGAGACTAGCGGTCCGCGCTTATCGCTTTGTCGCCGACTTAACGACGGTCATGATGTTTGATGGCAAGAAAGATAATGTCAGGCAGGATATTGAATCGACGCTAGGGGGCAGCTCTCGTTCGAAGTGGTCGCAAAGACTATTGTCATGGGGAGTGGAAGGGAGAGGTACGTGCCAGCCGCAGGGGACCGGAATTTTTCCTCATTCCTTCATCAGGTATCATTCCTGTGGCGCCGGAAGATCGTACAGATACCCAATACTACAAGAACTTCTTCTTGTGGTTTGCGTGGAATGTCAACATACTCTCGTTCTCCGCAGGATCACTGGGACCCATTGCCTTTGGACTAGGCGTTCGTGACTCATGCTTAGTTATTCTGTTCTTCAACTTGCTTTGTGCCTTGCCTCCAGCATACCTGTGAGTCATGTATTGACCGCATCTACTCAAAGTTCTGATTTAATGCCATTGTAGCACGACATGGGGACCTCAGTTGGGTCTACGGCAGATGGTACAAGCACGATACAGTTTCGGGTTTGCTTTCTCTGCCGAATTTCATCCAGACGCAGAAGTTGTTAACATGATGCTATCAAGGTACTTTGGCGTCATCATACCCTGTATCTTCAACCTCATTGGAATGTGTGGATTTTGCATTCTCAACTGCATTCTCGGGGGCCAGGCCTTGTCGAGTGTCGCCGACGGGAATTTAAGTTGGACGTACGTACAACCAGAATGATGCATCGTAAGGATTTTGCTGAATAGACCGCTCTCAGAATTGGGATCGTTGTTATCGCGATCATATCACTTCTTGTTTGTTCCTTTCTTCTCTCATCTGATGCGCGCAGCACCTAGTGAACTATTTACAGGTCTCTTTTTGCGGAATCAAAGTTATCGGATGGTATGAACGCATATCTTGGATCCCCGTCGTTATTGTATTCGTTGTAGCGCTGGGGATAGGCGGCAAACATGTTATGGCCGTTCCTGCTGCCGAACCTGCCACTGCTGCTGCCGTCCTATCGTTTGGCTCTACTATTGCTGGCTTCGTGATCACCTACTCGCCTTTGAGTTCTGATTTTACAATCTACTTTCGTCCGGATGTTTCAAGGTACCATCGCATCTGTGAATGTCACCGTCAGGACGCTGATGTTCATTTTTGCTAGGGTTCGACTATTCTTGTACTCGTACATAGGCTTTCTATTGCCGATTGTAAGCCCGTTGCCTTTGGCTTAGAACAGATCCCTTACCGTTCGTTTCAGGTCACTCTGCAATGTCTTGGGGCAGCAGTCACCGCGTCTGCCTCCTTTGTTCCAGCATGGGATGAGGGATATGCAGGGGGGAATGTAGGCGGTCTTTTAGAAGCTATGCTCCAACCGGCGGGGAATTTTGGGAAATTTCTCACCGTTCTTCTCAGTCTGTCTGTCGCAGGAAACATTGCACCTACATTCTATTCTATGTGCCTCAACATACAGGTGTTTATACCTGTTCTGTACGTGGTTCCCAGATATGTATTCTCGATACTCGCGACAGCCATGTAAGTTTTATCTGATATTGATGTGCTTAGATGAAAGCTGATGCAGACGCCGTAGTGTCCTTCCGTTAGCCATTGTAGGATCTCATCGGTTCTATGACACGCTCACGAATTTCCTCGGATTAATTGGCTACTGGGCGAGTGCGTTCATCGGTGTCATACTTGTCGAGCATTTTGTGTTCCGGCGGAACAGCCCTGAGATGTATGACGTATCATGCTGGAATAAGCCTAGGGCCCTGCCTTTAGGATGGGCAGCGATCTGCGCTTCGGTGGGGTCTATTGGCCTTGTTGTGCCTTGCATTGATCAGCAATGGTTTGTCGGCCCCATTGCAAAAACGACGGGAGATATCGGTTTTGAAGTCGCATTTGCTGTGACAGCTTTGCTGTACTTGCCACTTAGAGCGGCTGATATCAGGATTCGGAAGGCAGTGTAATGTCGAATGCACTATGTACTGTGCAAAAAAAAAAATCACTTTTTCACCATGACCGACGTTCCATACGGGCGCGAACCTGCTTCTACACGTCTACCCAATTGTCCTGATTTCCTACGGAGCGACGTCCGGAAAAAATGACTCAATAATGTGAGTCAACTGTTTCCGGTGCGCGTGCAAATTCTCGAGGGAGTTGAGGCATGATTGATGATGATGTGCCTTGCGATCAGGCGGCTGCCTCTCCGAGAAGTAGCTAGCTTCAGTACAGTCTCATAAGATGATGGCGATTCTAAGTCGGGGATGACACGACCGATGGGGTTCTTTTCGTATTGAGGGCTGCCGTTATATAACTTGCATCGCTTATACTCTCGTTTCGCTCTGTTGATGCACTTATCGCACCTCCATCCCCACTTACAACAGGCCAGGCATCGTCGCGCCCATGATAACCGGTGAATTGTTGCATCGTATGTTTTCTCTGCACTTGAACATAAATGCCTCTTGATAATGCCTCTAGGCGAGGAGACGTCGTCCTATACAGGTTCGGAAAGGAGATGTCTGGTTGCCTTCTACGTTCTACAACTCGCGGGATTTGGGGGCCTCCTTACTATCCTGCTTACTGGGATCTTTTCTCCCACAGTCGCAAAACGGCACGTATGCTGGTTAAACTTTATCATAACATGGATGGCTTCGGCTATATCGTATAGGTGCGTGCTCAGTGCAATACTGATTCATGCTAGACTTGACAGAATACCCAGTTTACTTGTCGGTCATTCTATGGATTGGGAACCTCCCCACGGACTTTGCTTAACGCAGGCCATATTGATATATTCGGTTCCTACTTTGTGAGTTTGGTACCATAGCAACCTCTGTCTTGTGCTTTAACGTAATTATTCAAGAACGACTTGCACCACCACAGCACTCGTGATCCACGTTAGTTTCTCATCTTCTTTCTCTCATGGATCCCATTGACAGTCTCGAAGGTATCCATTTCAATGAATGCCCTTTTATCGCCACCTTCCGGAGTTCATTTCAATTGGACACCATTTGTAAGTTCTAGTCCCTGCTCTCTTACTTGGCTAATGAATGAATCTAGCTATATGTAATGCCGTATCTTGCCTCAGGTGGAATGGCCGCGCTCTCACTCGCTATTGGATTGCAAGATCCAGATACTGTGGCAAGAAGAGAGTCGAGAATGTACTGTAACTTTGCAAATCGAACACCGTTCGTCTCTGTCGTTATCTTTCCCGTATCATACACAGAGCTTACGCGCGTACTAGGTCTCACGTCTCCTCTGCGCTGGTTGCAGGTATAATGGTGCTGTGTCTATTGGTAGAGATTTTTGTGCTGGTCAAGTTGCGCAAGAACTGGATGTACCTGAGGAAAAAAAGAGACCGCCAGACGATATCGTCGATACTCCGTGTCCTGGCGTTTAGCGCAGTGGGATGCATGGCCATTGGGTAGATCCTTGTTAGTTATTCTCCATCGTCTCTAACAATATCCCGAAGGCTAGGATTTGTTTTTGTGTTTACTTCGTATCGCGGCCCTGCACTAAACCTTATACTAGGCAGTGGTAAGTTTTCCCGAGCTCTTTGACTAGGCAAAATCACTCATAAGAGTTTCCATAGTACCGCTACTTGCTGTCTTGCTCTTTGGTACTCAACAGGTAAGATATTGCCACTCATTGTGTGCACTTGACTTATGTCTAGCGTTATCCAGGACATCTTAGACTCCTGGTTTTATTTGTTTCGCGGGAAACAGAAACCCAAAACAGAGAACCTCTCCCTCCACTATAGCAATCCATCCTGGATGGCACCAGGCACAAGTCGAGACCCATTTATCGCCTCGTACACCGGGACCGAAGGGTAACCGTAGCACTAATTCTTTTGTATAATATATAACACTCTACTACAGTACATACTGTATTTTTAGCAATGGCAAACATCGACACTCCAATTATCCAAATTAGACATCATCTTCCCAGCTATCAGGAACGTCTAACGTATCTTCCGACTGAGGTTGCGGCACGGATGTGGAAGGCCGAGAGGCAGGTCGTAAATTCTGCAAATCCGGCACGCACGCGGTATGAGGAGTCGAGGATCGGCTGACAGGCCCCGTCCATCCTCTCCCAGCATTAACAATAGGCCTCGTTGCTGTGGGCTGTGATGGAGGCTGACTCACTACCCCAGCGCTTCGCAGGTTTCCGAGCTTGCCTAGATTCGGTCGTGACGGAAGACGTGTTGGGGTAACATGCGAGGAGAGAAGTGGCGAAGGTATTCTTGTATCTATACGGCGTATCAGTTGGACGCTGGAAACCGTTTGGTCAAAATGAAAATAAGTGAAGGCTGGTAGGCACCACGAACCTCCGATGCGGTTCTTGATCCACCATCTGGGTATCCACTCTATATATACTTGCAAGCTGAAATGATGATCAGTCCATTGACAGCTTTAAATGACAGATGAACCAACTTGGTGAACAAATTGCCTTCGGTCTGGAGGCATATGTGGTAACACTTGGGTCTTTTTGCCTGACCCTATGAATCTGGAGTGAAAATATCAGTCAAAAACTTTTGCAGAAATAAACTTGAACGAACTCAGCAAAGGCCTTCTCTACCACTGCAAGGAACTTATCATTAAGCCTAGCGAATCCGACAAGTTCGTCACTGTAAACACCCTCCGACGCAGTCTTGTCTCGCGAATCAGTATCGATGCCCAGCGCCTCCGCCAATCGCGCATTTCTCTTGGCTATTAAGCATTCCGAAGTGCATTTCAGCTGTTGCTGGCCATTCCTGCCCGCAGCATTGCTGATACTCCTTCCGCAGGGTACAGACTGTCGAATTCTCTCACAAGGACACAGAAGGGTGATAAGTGTTTGACAGGCCCCTACTTCGGAACAGGCTGACGGGGCATGGCAAGAATCAGCGCAAGGATGATGAGACGGCAAACTTTCAATAGCCCTTCAGTGGCTTCATGAAATATTACGCCGAGATGACTTACCATAGCTTCCGCGACTTTCCACATATTGACGTACAAACCCCACAATCGTCAGAGTGACATATTCGTTCACAGCGATGGAAGCCACAACCCATGAGCCTACAGGGAAGGATTGTGAGGTAGGCGAAAACAATAGGGAAATATTTGACCTACTTGCCACAGACAGTGCCGCAACCGACCTTCTCACGAGGCAACGAACATTTTATGTTATCGACTTCGTTTTTGCCACATGCACATAGCCGTTTCGTTAAGGAAAAACAAGGAGGACAAGGGATATCGTCTCCATGGCAAGGATGGGGAGTTTTGGGATGTCCGCAGGGAGGAGCCGGCATTACGCAGGGATATGAACATTTAATCTCTGTCCCGCATGGAATTGGAGGTTCTAGCACCGTACGTTCACAAAAGCAGATCAGCTACGTCAAGTCAGTGATGGGAGATAGAAGGGAACAAAATCATTGGCGGCATACCTCTTCAAACGAGCTCCTCAGACACGGGCCACACGGTCCCTTATGGTCTCGTTCCTCGCACCGGTGATTTCCGCAAGTGAGCATCTTACCGCAGATCAGATCACATTCGTGTAAACCTCCTGGACCTTCACCAATATCCTCCGCAGGCGTGATCATACGTTTCTTGCCCTTTGTTTTGACTGCCAACGACGCGAGGGGACAACAAAGACGGTTACACTGGTGCCTCCCGCATGCTCGAAGCGCAGGACATGCTTTAGTGCATAGAATGTTGATTTCGTTACGGTCCTTATCATGGAGATCGCCACATTTGGTGCTTCGACGAATATTCCCACATCGACAAGGACGGACAAGCACTTCGGAACAGGGTGGACATTCACCGATATGGCACTTGGCTTTGCAGGGATGCTCGCAAGTCGCGTGAAGTTTGTTACATGGTGCATCACAAGTCGGGATTGGCGCCGAACAAGTGGTACGAGATGCAAAGTCGTATTTTGCGGCATCTGTTTCTGGAGGCGCGATCGTACGTTTGCCACATGGACAAGTCGTGATTGTGACAGGCGAGAAGGGACATTGGGCAGCGGCGGATGAGGGAGGATGACAAGATTTTTGGCATGCGTGTCTGCAACAATCGTAGAACCTAAAATGATCAGTATGAGATAGCTACGCATGCTGAATTGCATACCTTTGACATACACTATCACAGGAGAAACCCTTCACGTCGCAGGGCCCTGGCTCATCTCCACCGCATCCAATGGCACCTAGCCATTGACTTCCCTCTCCACAAGGCACCTCTCTTTGTGCTTTACCGCACCAACATTTACTCATCTCGCGTTGCTCGCAGCTTGCACAATCTCCTTGATGACACATCTCCTGGCAAAAATGCTTCCCGCAGTTAAGACGTTTCGAGCAGACCTCATTACAAGAGACCCTTTTATCCTCCCCACACCGAACTGGAACGACACGCCTTCGAGGGCACCCGCATGGGACTTCCAGCATGATTTTACACGGAGGGCAGGGACCTGGATGGCATGAGAGCGGACAGGGATGAGGACAACCAACCCGAGGTCGCGAGCAAGGGTTCCCGCATGAGTGAGGCGTCGCGAGACGGGCATTAGGCGATGGTGTCGACCCACAGAAGCACCGATAGCCGCCGATAAGCATGCCTCGCCTTCCCTGACATCCAGGACATCTCCATTCGCCTCGCCTCTCCTCTCCCCTCGCGCGCCAGGCCTCTTTAACTTCGTTGTAACTCTTTTCCGACCACGAGTGAATGCATTTGAGATGGAAGGTCGTCCAGCAATACTGGGGAACGAAAAGCTCTGCAGACTCTCCGGGAGGGAGTATGGGAATGGAAGGGGAGCAACTCCATGTAGGTTGGGGTGGATGGATCGCGTTGAAACAAATAGGACAATCGGTATAGGGACGGGTGCTTAGGCCACGTATGAGGATGGATGTGAGGTCATTAGCTTGGTCGCTGGGAGGGTCCTTGGCTTTATGCTTGCCCCATCCGTGGGGGGACTGGGAAGGAGAATCGGATGTGAGTCCAGCATTGAACTTGACACCCCTACGACCGCCGTTTGGAGGTTTTGGTCGTGATGAAGATGGCTCTTCCGATGGGTCATCGCCAGGTACTCGAGGTTCATGTTGTCGTCCGGATCGTTGTGAGCTCTCTACATGCTCGCCGCTGTTCGTCGTGTTTGACCTTTGGCTCTTTGCAGAATCGATGGACGCCCCGGCAGGTCCACGCTTTGGTCGTCGTCGTCGATTACGCGAAGAACCGTCCGGCGGTGTCTCTTCCACTGCCACCTCCCCTCTCGAAGAATTAATGGTCGATGAGTGTCCATCCAATGAGGCATTTGTAGGTTTATTTCGACGATTACCGCGATGGTTAGGTCGAGGTTCAACTGAATCTATACTCTGAGGAGGGAGAGCAGCTATTTCCATACAGCTGTTGGGTTCTTCAGGAAGGGATGACAACAACAAAATCGAAGAAAAACGGGACTCACGACCGAAGTAAGCTGTTAAGAGTAACAGGATGATGGAACCAGTAGTCAGAGTAACTAAAATCTGACAAATGCTCGGTACCGTGATGTATATCCGAATATAGACATGTTCGTTGCGTCATTGGACATCCACGAGGTGGTGCCGTCCAATTAGCTACGCGAGCACCATGTTCGACGACGACGAGGACATTGACGAGACCGCAGCACTCGTACCCCCAGATCCTACCTGGCAAGCCATCTTCCACGCATCCAACCAAGTCGTACTCTACAATCCCACTAGTCATGCTCTGGCTATCCGACAGTCCTCGCAAGCTCGTCCGAGATCTGGCTGTCCGTATTGCAAGAGACCGCTGCCACCAGAGTCCCAGGATGAACCGGACCCCGAGTTTCATTCTCGTGCATCGAATTATTTTCACTTGCTGTCCATCGTGAATGATACATGGTCGAGGCCGTCAACGCCGCCGCCTATGGAGGCTGACGACGGTGCCAGCGGTTTCTCTGCAGAGGCCCTTGCAAATGGATATTTCAAGGCCTTCTTTACCGAAGAGAGCAAGCTAGGGATGGGCGCAAATGGAAGCGTATACCTTTGTCAGGTATCACTCCAGCTCTGACTTGACTTTTGTGACCAACCCTTTCACAGCATGTCCTGGACGGAAATCCACTAGGTCATTTTGCCGTCAAAAAAGTTGCAGTCGGGCAATCTCACTCGTACCTGTTAAATATCCTTCGTGAAGTTAGCCGCTTCTCATCCCAAAATCTATGTAACTCATTTCCACCAGGTTCGCCTACTTGAGCGGCTTCATCATCCCAATATCATAACGTACCAGTACGTTCCTCCACCCTTCTTTTCTTTTTCTTTTTTTTTCAACCGGTAACTCCTCCATCTTCTTTCAGCCACTCCTGGCTCGAAAGCGCTCAATTCTCTTCGTTCGGTCCCCGGGTTCCCACGTTACAGTTGAGCTTCGACGTCCATTTCCTGTTCCTTTAACTTACCGTGGGCTAGCATTCTCATGCAATGGGCTGAAGGTGGAAGGTGGGCATAGTTTCACCCACTGATGCATCCGTTTGAATCCACACTAGCCTCGACGACTTTATCGATGAGCGTCTTGGACGCGAGACTCGACACATCCACATCAACCCCAATGGCGCCTTGAATGGTAATGGTGCAACGTCAAACATTAACTCGCGTTCAGCAAGGATTCGTGCATACAGGGCATTCCAGCGCGCCTCACCAGAGGAAAAGGAGCAGCTCAGACAACGTATGAATGGACAAGCGCGTCAGGGGACGCAAACGTGGACTGCAGTGCATCTCCTCAGTCCAGAGGAAGTAAAAAGCATCTTTACAGACGTCGTAGAGGGATTGTCTTTTCTGGTAAAGTGGCCATCGCCTGGGCAAGGATCCGTCTCAATCTGTTCAGCATGACAAGTCTATATTGCACCTGGACCTCAAGCCTGGCAACGTGCTACTAACATGGGATGAAGGAAAGCTAATGTACGATCATCTTCTCTTCTTAAATCTGGGTACCGAACCATTACTAGACCGCGAGCCATGTTATCTGACTTTGGTACGTCCCGCGACATGGTGAACACGTCCCAAGTACGCTCGGGAAATACTGGAACGTGGGTCCAGCTCGTTATGGAGCTATTCATCACTAAAAGAACCCTCAGACTGGAATATACGTCTCCTGAATCCTTGCCATCGCCTCAGACGGGTCTTCTCCGCCAGGTAGACTCGAAATCCGATATGTGGTCACTTGGCATGATCCTACACAAGCTACTCTTCTTCAAATTACCCTATCATTACGCTGCGGCTGGCGATGCGAGCGAGACAATGCTGAATTCTCTTGCAGAAGGTGACAAAATGGATCGGCTGGAGCAAGAAGTGTTGAACTATCCAGGGCAAGTTGCGTTTGTAAAGTGTAACTTTATAATTCATCAAGCGTGCTTCCAGATTCAAAAGAACAGCAGCGCAGGTTGCGGCATTCGAGGGCCGCAAGCTATCACGAGCGTACACTGTTCTGCTAGAAACACTGCTGAATCCCAATCCATCTGCACGGCCGTCCTGCGAGCGGGTTCTGACTGCAATTCGAGAAGGCGGAGTGAGTCACTCCTTATGCTTTAAAAGTGGGAAGCTCATTCGTCACAGCTGGATGCAGTCAAAGAGCCGCGGCGTACACGGACAGCATCGACGTCTTTGATGCAGATGGTACGAAGACCAAGTCCGGAACCTACCGCGGAAGAGACGACGAACGTTGTCGGCGAAGCTGCAGTCCTGAATAGCGAAGGCGAAGAGGAAAAAGTGCCTCTACTGGGTCTACCTGCGCCAGATGATGGGCATGACGAGGCAGCACCGGCGATGACGGTGGTGCCAATAAAGCGGCTGAAAATGACGCTTTTCGTGAGGTCAGCCAAGTCGTGCATCCTCGTCGCCAAGGTGCTGGATGTTGCGACTATGTGCCCCGATGGGCACTTGCGGACTGGGCTGTCTATCATTGTATTGATTCTTGCCGTGGTAGATACATGGTTTGAAGGGCTGTGGGTATCGATCGTATTTGGAATGCTTCACATATTGGTTGTTAAATTAGGACGCAGTAGTGACATATGTTGTAATGTGTAGCTAGTGCAATGCAGCTTCAAATAGGCTAAACTCGTCGTGACTAAAGGCCCACCTGTCGGCGGTGCGGCTGGCAACCCACTGTGCGAGTTTTTTCTTTTGTTCCGGATCCAAGACACCATCGCAGGCGACCATGTACGTCCAGAGGAGCCTGATGCTCTTTTCCTCAAAATCGAGATCAGGCTCCAAGACGTCTCCGTCCTCGCCATACGGCAGCGGGTCTACGAGCGCGCCAACGACAGCGGCAAAGATACCTTGCTCCTCCATGGGGCGGCGGGCCACAGAGGATGTTTCTGCTCGACTTGGGTCAACAAGATTGGGGGCATGGGAGTTGGGATGCACAGGCCCGGCTTGTACCGTGGTTTCATTCGGGGTGAGAAGGGTATTCAACAAAAAGACGGCCTTTCTCCGAACGGTGATCTCTGGATCGGCAAGTGCGGCGCGCAACTTGAGCCAGGCGTCGGATGCGAGGGCTTTTACTGCAGGAGCATTGTGCTTGAGGAGGCCTGAGAGGGCGTAGAGGGCCTTGCTCCTGATCTGTGGTGAAGAATTTGCAGGGACGAGAAAGGCGGTCAAGGTCGGGAGGGGATTGGATGAGAGGTACTGTGGAAGTGTTAGATTTGCCTGGGACGAGACTGGACATACCGTTTGCTGAGCGGCGGGGTTGTTCTGGAGGGCAGTGCCGATGACCCATAGGGCCTGCAAGACGATCACGTCTGTCGAGTCGGGAGAGGTGAGCAGCGAGTGCAGTGGCTGCCACATTTCCAGTTGCTCGAGATCTGGCCTGGGTTAGGCTTGGAAGATTGAAGGAAGGAAAAGCAGCGCGTACTGTTGGCATTGTCGATTTGTTCTATTAGCTGGGTACAGGTGAGCACGGGGATGTGTGTGGAAGAGAAAGAGACGGACCATCTCGAGGTGATCAAGGGCGTCTACCCTGGCGTCTTCCGAGTGGTGTGGATCTGAGGCCACTGCGAGGTCCTCCTTCATGAGCTCAGCATCGGACTTGCCGAGAATGAGATCAATGACACCAGCGTCGAGGTCTGTTCTTGGCTGGGGAGCACCGACGGAAGGGCCAGAGTGTTCAATTGACCATCGTAGAAGCGATTCCATCCTGAACAAAGTAAAGGAAGATTATTTTCAGAATTATTTTTATTATTTACAATACATCAGTTTACATAGCACCTTCACTCTTGGAAATGATATACCTGCTGGCCGTGTGAACTCGTGACGGATCCTGCAGGCGTCGCTCGCACTCACCAAGCATGGATAACACCCGGAATCCACCCTAGCACACACAGTGCAATGTTGATCCAGAAATCGGCAGCGCAGCCTCGTTCTGAGCACGCGCACGAGCACGAGCACGGTCAATGATGTTCACGATAGCAGGGTGCAACATACTAATCAGCACGGGCACGGGAGGTACGATGCTGGGGAAAAGAGTTGAAGAAATGGATGTATTTATGATGATAAAGGAAAACATACATACATTGCGACAAAGTAGAGGCATACATCAGCAGAAGAGGAGGGCATTGTTGTGGTGGTAAGGGATCAGACCTGTATAATGACGTCACTTGGCCGTGTCCTCCGCCTTTCGACGCCCCTTGGTTCGATTCAGACCACAATACTCCTTCTGGTACCCTGTCTCGGTGAACACGAAAACATTGCAATCGCGTTCGGTATCACAAGAATCATCGTTGGAAGGGACGGAGGCAGCCCTGTACTCGGTATCGTAGACGCCCTCATCCCCGCAGCATCGATGGCAGCAGACGACATCTTCACCTGTACGACAACTTCCATCCCCGGTCGTGAGCATGTCCTGCCTCGTCAAATTCAGCCTCTTCTTGATATCGCCCTTCGTCTTCCAGTCCCAGACGATATTCCTCTGCCTCCTTACAATCTTCATCCACTCTCTTCTCGCACCACATAGGTGCTGCTCAACCACCACTTTATCGATGACCCTGCACTTGCGAATGTCCGCTGTAGCATTCTCTCTTTCCCTTCCAGCTGCCGCCATAGCGTGGAGATAGACATCAAGTTTATTACACACCAGTCATGTGGTCTACATCGTATCGAGCACTCGGATCCCGTCCACTGTGATGCCCATGTGTGCCCCATATACATGCGCAAACTCCGGCCCGGCAGCAACACCCTGCTCGTAGTTCTTTCCCTTCACATTCGCAATGTAGTCGTAAAAGTCGGCGTGGTCCCCCACCGATTCTTCGAACCACCGCAGCTCCGCCATACCCTCAAGCGTCCGGATCACCCAGTGCGCACTGCTCCATCCCTTCTGGCCCCGCAGCAATGCAGAGCTACCTTGCCCCGCCGGCTGCTGTCGGATAAACGCGTCCACCTCCTTCGGATTCGTCTCCAGAGACGGCATCTCGATTAAACACAACAGCGGCGCCGACAATCGTGCCCCGCCATCATGGTTCGTCTCCCATTTCTTCTTTTTTACAATTTGGTACACGCACAGCGGCTCGCTGAGCTTGTGCTCCGGGTCACGAATGATCAGTGCCCAGTGATATTTTCCTTCGCCGTCTTCGGTGTTGTACAGTGCAATGTAGATGTTCGAGTGCATTCTTCAGAGCCGTCAGTCTCGTCGTCTCGCAACAAAAAGCTTGCTGCTTACTTTTGGTGTGCGTGATGGCGCCGAGCAACGAGCAACAAGCAGTACTCTGCCCATTCATATTACTTATGTAGGCCCCTTTTAGACCTGCAAATTCTAGAATTGCCAACTCCTGTTGAATTTATATTAAGATTTTCCTAAACGTTCCAGATGAATTATTCCGCCTTGTTCTACAGTCAATGCCCTCTTTCCGCGTAGCTCTACCAGCACAAAGTATTGTCTGAGAAGAATGCCTGCTATTCTTCGCTTTTGGGGGCTGCTAACTTTGTCGTTCGAACATTGCCTAGGAGCAAATAAATTGACTTCCAGTACTGGACGCGCTCGATTTCAGGAGGTCGATCATGTTCGGAGATTTGTAGTCGGGCCGCCGTGATTTACTAGTCCCTGCTATAGCGCGCACCTTTTGCTCAGCATCAAATGTAGGAAGATTTCGCGGCACCTTGTCGTCCACAGTATGACTAGTATGTATTACTGTACTTATTATATCTAATGACGGATGGTATCACCATTTTCTGATAAAATTTACAATGTACACGAGTCGGGCCACGTCGCCTCAGAACGGGCTTCCGGCTCAACGTCTCCATCAAACATAAAGCGTCCTTGGTGACTACTGCCACATCAGCCTCAAGGAAACCTCTCCCAACGCTCAGAACTCACTGATCATAGACACAGAACTCGTCTTCCCACGCAGTATAGGCTTCGCTACGCTCGGCATCTGTGATGGGAGACAAAGGCTCTCCATCCCCTCGAGCTTCCAAGTTGGGCTGAAAGGCGTTCCCGACCGTCGAATAGTACCCAAGCAGAGGAAACACAGCATCGTCCCGCTGAAGATCATTGCTGGCATCAGTGTATCCCCCAGAGAATGTGGTTCTTTGTGAGTAGCTGGCGATCCACATATCCATTTTTTCTAATAGACTGCGAAGATCAGCAAATGCCCGAAAGCCAACTTCAGTTTCGGCATACCGGTGTTGGAGGCCATCTAGGGACAAGTCATTTGCGTCGTAGTTGTGCCGAGGAGCTCCTTCTGTCGCGGGCAGGACACCTGTCGATTCTTCAGATGGATAGTAATACGTGTTGCCGCTGCAGACACCAGATCGAGCGACTAGGGGGACATCACCATCGTAGATACTATACCAAGAGCCAGAAGAGTCATCGTCTGCGGAAACCAGGGAGTCGCCACGGGAGTTGGCAGATGCCAAATGTAGGGGAGCTTGGGTACCAGCCAAAGTGTCATCTCCTTGAATTACTCGAGATTTGTGTGACCTTCTCTTAGTCTTGGCGTAGATCTTCTTGTCCCTTCCTTTAGGCCGCTTGTACGGAGAGTTGGAATGACGATCCACTGTATCGCTGCTGTATGCAAGGCAGTGTGGCGTTGAAGACGAAGGGGCAAGACGTACGTAGGATGAGACTTTGGCCTGGAATATGGAAGAGATGAAGGATTTCATGAGAGAGCCAAATGAATCATCGACTTACATGTTTCTGTGAGGGTAAACAAAGGAAAGGCCCTGAAAACACAATGATGTGCCTAATAAGCCGATTACTGACGCCGAACAAAATCAGAAGAAACAGCGCTTGCCGGGACTCTGAAGTTACCAAATCATCGCTCCAGACAAATGCCATTTTTGCTGAGGCTGGCGGCGAAATGTGAAGCAAAGACGGGAATGAGGATCAAGAGAAGTCAGCGCGACGGTGTCTTTAGTGCCATCAACAACATGCGCCCCACCCATCCAAGGATGTACGACGTATGTACTAGCCTATTGTGGGTTCTACTGAGACTGATTTATTCATTTGATAGAAGGAGCTACATACCTTTTGCGATTAACTGGCTACCTCAGAAACAGTCACTGCTCAGAGTTGCATCTGAAGCTTATCTCTCGAAACTAATTAGAGACGCGTTCTGGGGCACACAGTCTCAGCAAAGGTGGCAAAAATAATGTCAAAGGAAATGTCATGGATTGTTATTGTGGCAAAATTTTTTTCCCGATCGTCCATGACACCGCCATGACGTTTTTCCTCAAGATAGCGACTAAATTCAATAAATACTGCGTCCCCCCACCGGCGCAACTCTCACTTCAACTATAACCACAATGTCTGAATTACAATGGAAAGGATACGCGTCCGTCTCCATTCTCTGCTCCGTTTTGCGTCTTTTGACCTTCTTTGTAGCGTTCACGACACTTCCAAATGGACGGAATTCAAGATCATTGACTTTACCCCCAAGGCTTTTGACGAGGAAGACCTGGATATCAAAATTGACTTCTGTATGTTTTGTTCGTTTGTCGTGATTCACAAGTGATGAAAAACACCCCTCAGGTGGTATTTGCGGTAGCGATGTAAGAGGAACACCGTTCAGCGAAACTTCTCAGTAATTGACGCGTTCTCAGCTCCACACTATCACAGGCGGATGGGGCAAGCCCATGCTTCCTGTCATCCCAGGCCATGAAATCGTTGGCCAGGTCGTTCGCGTTGGAGCCAAAGTGAAGGAATTCAAACCAGGTGACCGTGTTGGTGTTGGGTGCGTGTTTAGCATCCTCCAATCTTCATTAAATAATAACTTCATAGTGCTCAAGTTTGGTCTTGCAACAAATGCGCCAACTGCAAAAACGACAACGAAAACTATTGTCGTCATTTGGTTGACACGTTCGTGGATGGTTCATCCTTACTTTCAAATTCTCATAATATGTACCCAGATATAATGCCAAATACCCCAACGGAGACATGGCATACGGCGGCTACTCGACTGCTATCCGCGTTTCCGAACGTTATGTGTTCCCAATACCCGAAAAACTTTCCTCGGAGCAGGCTGCACCCATGCTGTGTGCTGGACTCACAGTCTTCAGCCCATTGGTTCGTAATGGCACTGGGTATGACTTTACCGCAAAACGTTTCGTCAAACCTGAGCTGAATGTTTTCTCAGTCCCGGCAAGAAAGTTGGCATTGTTGGAGTCGGCGGGCTGGGCCACTATGCGATTCAGTTCGCCAAAGCTTTGGGAGCTGAGGTCACTGTTTTCAGCAGCAGCACAGGGAAGAAGGTGAATGTCCGAGTCTGAACCCTTTGGTAGCATTGATTATTAACTCGTTCTATCAGGCCGATGCCATCGAGATGGGCGCGGATAAATTTGTCGTAACTCGCGAACCCGACGCGTTAGAGAACATGGAGATGACCTTGGATCTCATCATAGTACGCACGAGACACCGCCTCCACCGTACTCAAACTTACTATCGTATCTTTAGTGCACGGCTGACGTCTCTCATGGAATTCCATTAACGAAGCTCTTACAGACACTCATTGTCCATGGAAAGCTCGTTATGGTTGCTTTACCCGATGAGAAATTACCTGATCTCCGGGGAGCTAGTCAGTATCTCCTCGTTCTGATCCCATACCCCAGCAAAACTGACGATTTTCAGGCTTTATTACTAATGGATGTGCCTTGAGTGGTTCACACATAGGGAGCAAGAAGGAATCCATTCAGATGCTCAATCTCGCAGTAGAGAAAGGTGTTAAGAGCTGGATTGACATCAGGCCTAGTGCGTTTTATGACAGGAATGCGGACTGCTTCCTCACATGATGTCTCCCTTCCCAGTGTCCGAAGTCGGGGAATGCGTGAAGCGCGTCAAGGCAAATAAAGTCAAGTACCGACATGTTCTCAAGTGCGTTTCCCTAGGTTTAAACTACGAATACGGATCTCATCTCCTTACCAGGGCGGATTTACGAACTGATTCGAAGATAACCACGACTTGAAGCTGTAGAATAGAAGACCCCACAGGGCATGAATTCAATAACATTGTAGTGGTATCACACGAGCCCTCAATCGAAACTGTTACTTTTAACGATGACACCTGTCGCATATTTGCTTGTACTCGAAGTTTACTTCCGAGTCAAGATACTCCTGCCCCCGTCGATTCGTTGCGTGGCAATGTGTCACTAAACTCGAAAGCTTTGAAGCTCCAAGCAGAATAACGTTCATGGCTCACGCGTCGTAATGAAAGCGTCAAACGACTGATCATAACAGACGTAAGTCTGCACAGAATAGATTGAATTTCGGATTTGAAGTTGAAATTCGGTTACTTACATCATACTGGGTCTAGATATCCATCAACCGTCTTGAAAGATCAGGAAAATTAATAAAGAGCACACACTGGGCATTGATCAATTTCAAACCGGGCTGATGGCTCGTCGGCAAGGCAGGTGAATGCTATCAGTTATAGGGTGGCTTACCCGACTACACAGGGAAAAAAGCATCCAGAGGGCATTTCCGGTGAGTATGATGCCAAAGTACAACGTTCCGTCTCGCTGAATTCTTTGGAGAAGGAGAGCTCTAGGAATTATCTTGTGATACTGAATAGTGACTTGTAGAGTGATAATAAAAACTATACTGTCGAAAAGAATAGACCCTGCCAGATAAAGCGTGTCCCTATGTTTTGATGAGGCTTTTCGTCGAGCCAGGTGATCGTTAACGTACATTACTGGATCGGAAAATAATATGCAGACTAGAATGGGTCGGTAAATAGTATATATACATGCAGATCGATAGACGCTTGCCTACCATGAAATGGATCAATTCCATAAGACTGCGCTGATAAGTCCGGCAAGGGAAGGGCTATTAGAGTTAATTAATTAGCGGAAGCACCATGGTGTGATTGCTAGCTGATGCCCTACCGTTATTTTGCCCGTGTTGGGCCATGGCGTAAATTACAGTGATACATTGAGTAATGGGCAGGAGGCTGAGAAGTACGATATATAGCTTTCTGCTTCCGGTCAAGGCATAAACCCTTACAAATGTTCAGTCAGCGACCTTGAACATTGGGCAGCCGGGGAAAGGCTCGTACCGGATTAGTAGTACTATCTCTGCTGGGATGGCGGCGAGTAGGGCTTGCAACCATTCGACGATGGCAAATCGATTACAGCTGATAGTGTTATCGAATAAGAAATACGTTTCCTCGCAAGAGAGAAGCTTACATCTGTCAATCACTTACGTTCAGTCCCAAGCCCAGACAGTCATCAGATTACACGCACTTCGAAAGTCCACAATGGCGAAAAATAGGCTACAGTCGTTCAATAACCGAGAACGTTTGAGACGCCCTATCACTCACCGAATAAAGTGATGACGCAAAAGGACATAGCACAGTAGCGATTCTTCACATCCAAGAGCATCGTCAATGATAAAATAGCACATAGCACGAACACTAACTCACTAGTAAAAACAGATAGAATACTTCGAGACGATGAGTACAAGATGAAAGACATATTAGAGGCGAATCATACCAGGCCCCTTCCTCTCTTTCCAGGCGAACTCAATCTCGTCACTTAAGGTGAGAAAGTAATCGAAGAAGATGATTGTGCATGAAGCCACATAATACCACTAGAGTCGGTTTCATTGATACTGATGCAGCAAAGTTGATCAACAACTAGAAGTTAACCTTGAAAGCTTGCCTGATAAACACATTATCCAAGGCAACTCAACAGCGGCAGAAGATCAGACATACAGATCCTTGGCTAACGATATGGCATCCTCGTCCATCAACAGGCCTATGGATATTATCGGAGTACGAAGTGGAGGACCAACAGGATGGGAAGCAAGCAAGGACGAGGATCCTGACCTCGATTAGCATGGTCATTTATGTGGTAAACAGACGCACCGACCCCACACGCATCTCAGCCACTATCATGACGAATATATAGCTTCAATGATATTCCAAGCCTAGACTCCATCGTAAGCGGATGTTCGTCGAAGACGCTGGTCATCGGACCAGATATCACTGAATTCTAAATTATTTAAATTTAGACCTTTCGTCTTAAAAAAGACAGCTCGTCAACGCAACGTCCTCGGTAAAGGCGCCGGTATGAGGTGTGATAGCCGTAGAAGACATAGAAACCGGTTCTGCCGGAATGTCGGTGTGAGGTTGAATACTCAATCAAGTTTCGGATTGATACTGATATCCCATGAAATATACATGAGGTGGGCTAAACCATATCGAGGCGCTGCGGGATATGGACATGCCTTTATTCAACACGTTCGGCCTGTGATAGAGTCAAACACGTACTAAATGCACCAATGCTGCCATGGGTGCGAGAATGGAAATATCAAGACGCGCGTTGAAGATATATAGCCGTTCTCCTCCCCGAGAGCAATGGCGACGAAACCGCACGTCGCCGGAATGACTGAGTGACGATCAAATAGACCGAAAAGGACTCAAGAGTATCTGTTTAACCATGGGCCTGTGATTATGGCCTTTTGACAGATGCCGAGGTGGTCGGATTACCAGCTCAGCATGGGTACACTAGCAGTTTTCGAATGGAGCACTGAAGGAATACAGCAAAGAAAAGCGAGGAACTCCATAATGTAGCTCTTCGGGGTCGACAGGAGTGGACAAGAAAACATTCGAAACCAGAGGGATATCGCTCTGAGAAGGTGTTTGGTATTGCAGGACTGATCTGTCCAGCGAGAGAGAGATACTCGGAGGTTAGGCCAGACGCGGAGGGAAGAGGTCCATTTGTAAGATTTCCATAGAGAGGCGCCGTTGCTACCACTGCACGTACAGATACCTAGTGTATGATTACCAGGCGTTATGGTTCGACAGGGAAGCTTGCAAGATACAAGATCGATGTTCGCGGGGCATCTAATATGTCATCCCTTTAGTATTCGGCGCTCTGATCTCACTCAGGCTTTTGATTTTTTGCACTCTGGATTCTGGAACTGCAAGACCTTAAGCGGACGCCAGCTTGTCCTCAATTTCCAACTACAACGGGCTTTGATACCGATATGTTCAGCGTACATAGTACATAGTACGACATAAAGATCGCCTGGGGCTGCTTCGTATGCCTTTTTTTCCCCGAGTACATTTTCTCTCTGATGGCAGGACTTCGGAGTATTTAGATGCATATCCTAACATCTTCGCACATGGCACGTTGCAGGCGGGTCCTCTCACAACTTCAGGTGTATATGTGACCACGACCACGATATCCGTGTTTGCATGTAACATTGGTACCTGTCTGACGCCAATGGGAGTAAGGAGGTGCAGGCTATCCCTGGCAACAATCTAGTGCTCTGTGAAGACTTGAGAATCGACAGACACCCTTCCGGCTGGTTCGTGGAATCACAGCGGCTCTAGATGACGTCCCAGCGGATTGCATCCGCGGATGACTTCTCATTTTCAGAGCTTCTTCGACTTGTTGACCGTATTTACGATGCACAACGTTCTGTAGCATGGCACAGCGGGGACAATCGATTACTGCTAGCATCTTAGCGATTTGTACAAGTGCAGCCATCTCCCTCCGACCTATGGACTCTTTTCTCTATCCAACTCGGTGGCGTGGTAATTCGAACGATAACATTCTGAGAGCCTCGGTCACTGATGTTTTCTTCTTCCAGTTACCCCGTGTTCATGATTCTTGAAGCTTGATTAGTGATTCCTTCAACGGATACGGCTACGCCTCTATACCTTGATCGATCTTTGCCTACTCTGTAAAGCTCATGGCGCACGGAACAGGTACAGGAGAGTATAGTGGATTCATATCGACCACTCGTGCCCTCTGAGGGTGGAAATAATGACGCCTGAGGTTTTAAGGAGTGGAAAACATTCGTTGGGCGCTTTGTCGACAGCCATTCGGGGCATCGTAATACGAAGAAAAGCATACATCGGGGCGTCCCACGATGTCAAAGCAGTTCGCTCTAGCTCGGGAAGTTGCAGCTTCCTCAAAGGTCGCATGATAGTAAAGAAGAAGGAAACGTGGGTATTTGACGAATTTGGCAGCCTCTCTGGCTCCTTGCCTCCCTCGACCTGGCTCTCTGCGCTTAGGATTCCGCCATTCTTTTGCTTGACGTGTTGTTAGGGTATTGCATCCGTTCTGATGATAGCTCATCTGTCCAAGGATCCTTTCGTTAGGGCTCTCTTCGCTTCCGATAGCCAATACGCTGCCGACAATTGTTCATACATGTGGTTATGTTGGATTCAATACGTAGATAATACTGGCTCATAATAGGAAGAGAGTGTGGATCCCATCTGAGACTGTCTCACACGGGTAATTCGGTGATAACAGATCACTACTTGTGTACGGGATCTCAGCTTTATGCGTGGTAATTCTCCCATGACAGAGCAGCTATGAGATGATCCAGTTCTTTTCTCTTCGGTTAGGCAAATGTCGATGTGGGTTTCGTTTGCTGTTGATGATAGACAAAGTTACTGAATAGAATGTTTTGGGAGCCTCCGGAATGAACGCATGAAAGTCAATATTTTCCGTACTTTGTTAAACATGTGGGTGAGGAACCAAGGAGTGGGGGTTAGATCTCTTTTTCTCAGCCAAATACTGAGGATAAAGATAAGCCGCATTATCTACACGCCAATAGAAGGGTTTACCATGAGCAGAACATGAGGTGAACGCGCCGAAAATCAAAAACCAATTAAGACGCGAATCATCACGTGATTCAGACACGTCGCGAGTTCGGCCATTTCCAGGTTCTTTTCTACCAATCAACGGACGGTGGTAGTGGACCCTTTGAATGATATCGTTATCTTCGCTTCGATATGCCGTTTCATCATCCATCCTCGGATCTCTCGTCCTGTCATTGTTCTTGACCGTGGGTAGACGCTAGGCATTTTCAAAGGCACCGAAGCGGTATATGTGTAGTCAGTTGCCTCGTTTTGCCTAGGCGGGGACAATAACACAGGTAAGTCTGTCGCTGTCTCGATTTTGTGTATAGTATGTCGACAAATTGACTCCATGGCATTGCAATGTCGTTTCCTGCCCCATGAAATGCTGTCGCTCTTTGTCAAAAAGGCTGACTTAACCATGAGTAGATTTTGCCTATCATTATCTGACTATATGCGCCGACAATCATCGCCTTTTCCTTCCTTTCACATATCACCTGCAGCATGCCAGCAAGACCTTCAGCCTCACGTTTGCAGGACTACAGCTTGCTATTTTCCTCTCCACCACAGCACTTAACACAAATCTGAGGCGTATCCCAAGGTCGATGATTGATGTACCTGTAAGTATTCCTACACGCCATTAATCTTCTTGTATACAAATGACACCCTCAACAGTACATATCTAGCAAGATGATGTCTATGGTATTATGAAAAGAGAATAAAGAAAAATAGAGAAAACAATAATTACATGGAGGAAGTCGGCACTGTCCACAGTCGCCAGTCTTCGACTCCTTTCCTCGCTGTCTCTCCCCATTTAGCTTGCGGTCGCACACTATTCATTCTAGCCTTCCCTCCATGCTCAGCTGGCAAAACCGTCGCATCAGACATTGGACTACCTCCCGAGACACTCTCCGTCCATCGCACACGCTTCTCCCGGGCATCAACCAACCTCGGAGCCTCAGGCTCGAGGTTCGACAACATAATCGCCGTCGAATCGGCAGGCAGGACATCCTTGTCACTGTAGATATCCTCATCATCTGGTACTTCTTCCAGCATTACGTTCGTCTTGCCCTTACTCTTCGCTGGCGCCCTTGATTCAGCCAAGGGCTTAGGCGGCACAACAGGAGTCGGCGGACTGGGATCTGACGTTGTTCGAGCTCTGACATGCACCTGATGCGTTTCGGGCATTGACTGCGTCTTTTCAATCACGGTCGATCTCGACATATGATCTCGACTTTCGTGATGAGCTTTTGGCAGCCAGATGGTCCGATTGTCTGGGAGGGGCGTTGTCGAACTGAGCTTCTGAGAGGTCGACGAGGACGTGAGCTTCGGAGGGGGTAGCGGTTCTCTCATGTGATCGAGAGTGAGCTTTGATGAACTAGCGCTGCTGTTCTCCGCCTCCAACGATCGCAAAGATGACGACTTGGGGTGATGATAGACAGAGGCTTGTGACTGGGGTCTCATTCGAGATATATCGACTACAGGAAGTGATGCCGTACTCTCATGCCTGACAGCACCCGACCGCGGCGTCTTGGTTCGACTTTCATCGACAACAGCACGAGCTGCGGGAGGGTCCAGTGCCTTGACCTTCGAGATATCCGCTGAAGATTTGACTTTCCAGCCACTGGTTGTTGGAGGTCGTTCGATGGGGTCAGATTCGAAAAAGGATGGTTGGGACTTTTTATGTTGGGCTATTCCCTTGTCAGAAGCGATACTGGGTCGCCAATATAGATGCTCGTTAGGACGGAGGGTGGTGTCAAAATCATCCAATCTGGAGTGCGACCTCTGTCGGTCATGCTCCCGGGTTTTCTCCTGTTCGCGAGCAAAGGCCTCCTCCACGTCCTTAGCTCGCTTACCTTCCCCACCCTCCTTGGCCCTTTCATCATCCTTCCGTCGCAACCTCGCTTCACGTTCCTGACGTTCACGCTCATGCTTCTCCTGCTCCCGCAAGAAAGTCTCCATCTCTTTTGACAACTTGACTTCTCCTCTTCTCTTCTCCCGCACTCTCTCCTGTTCTCGCGCGAACGTCAGCATCTCCCTCGACAATTTTTCTGGCACTCTCGCCCGCTCAACCTCTCTCGATAACTTCTCCTGCAACTTCATCGCCACCTCTCTATCGCTGAGCTCCTGAGCAGCCCTCAGTTCGCGCTCGCGCTCACGATCCACTCTCTCACGTTTCGCGCGCTCCTCCGCCTTCTTCTTTGAGGCATGCTCTCGCTTAAAGAATTCCAACTGCTCCCGCTCCAACCGTTCACGCTCCTTCATCTCCTCCTCTTTCCTTCGAATCTCGAGCTCTCTGCGTCGCATTTCCTCCTCTCTTCTTTGCAGGTCCTCCTCCTTCCGCCTTTCCTCCTCTCTCTTGGCCTGCTCCTTCCTTCTAGCCATCTCTTGTTCTCGTTTGAACGCCTCTAGGGCTTTCGCTTTCGGAGCTTCCTCGTCTTTCTCACGAATCTCTCGTCGTCGTTTCTGCCTCTCTTCATCAACCAGTTTCTTGCGCTTGTCCTCCTTGTCGCGCTGCAACTGCAACATTCGAACCTCATGCTGCACCATCCGTGCTGTAGGGTCCTCACCCTGCGAAATGTCCTGTACGAGAGTACGTTCGTGCTTGATAGCATCCATGTGGAACTCCTCTATCATTTTAAATCGAACGCTCATTTTGAACTCTTCAAACTCGTTTTCCATCTGTTTGAGGGAACGCTCTGGAGCAGAATATTTCTCTTGGGGGTGAAGAAGGCCATAGTCATGAGGATCGACAATGACTGGACCGATATAACGTGTCGTCTGTTTAGAGCGTGAAGAGGACGAAGAATTCGCTGCGGCTGTTACCGCAGACAAGGCCGATGTAAAGAGAGGCGGAACCGAAAAGTGAGCAATGGGAGGGGAGGCACAAGACGGTTCCAGTTGCGGCGCCTGGCGGACGCGACGAGTTTGGTCATGTCTTCTCTGAAACGATTCTTCGGTTTCGATCCTCAAAGTGTCAAGCCGTTCAGAGGGGAGTGTGTCCGAAACTCCACGCTGTAGTTGAACCTTAGGTGGGTCTTCCTCTGATTTGAGAGCTTCGAACCACTCCGAGATCTTAGACACATCTTCGTCTGAGGAGATGGGTGACGCGAATGGATTACGACTGGAGGGAGTAACGGATTCTGGAGCTGGTGGCTTCCAGAGTTCGACAGGCACTTGACGTGGAGGTGAAACGGACATGGTACGCGGGAAACGGTCCTCCGGGGTCGGGTAATCAACGACGACGGGTTTAGAGGAAGGAGAAGTACTTGGTGACGTCTGCAGGGAGTCAGCGCCATTCCACCAGGTTGTAGATTGACTGGACGTAGGTGAGACGGCAGAATCAGTATCAAAAGCCTGTGATAGTTGGAATCAATACAGGGCTGTGGCGATGAAATACAGCGGTGTTTACCTCGAGGAGGTCGAAGCCTGCTTCGCCGTCAGCGTCTTCGTCGTCATCTTCATCATACGCTCCTACGCCAAACGACGCAGGATTGACTATGGCATAGGCTGAAGTGGATAAGTTGGTTGACCGCACTTCTGTGGTTAGCGGTGCAGAGGGATTGATCCTAGTGGCGGTGGCGATGATGGGAAGTTTTTGGGAGGAAGAGGATGCCACCGGTGTGCTGGGGCTGGGAGATGGTTCAATGATGGGAGTGGGTTCGGGTTGAGGTGGAGGTTGGATTTCTGGTTGAACATGCTTGACAACATCTTCCTCGCTTACCTCAACGCCGAACAAGACCTTGAACGTTACCACCATTTCAGGCGGCGTGATATCAATCCAGTCAGCCTCGCGAAGGCCTTTCTCTTCCAATCTTCGCTCCCACTCAGTCTTGGCCCTGTCTCGAAGCGATTCGTCAAGACGAAGACGCTCGTCCTGCCTCTCTGAGTCAGTAGTGAAGAGGATATTTGAGTCAATGGCGTCAACGTCTTTGCTATAAGAGACTGCTTCGGGCGTGTACCATGAAGCAAAGAAGTCCTTCCAGACTGCACGAACCTGTTCATTCTTGGAGAGCATCGTCGGAGGCGGGGGAGGCGGGGTAGCCGGCCGCGGAGGAGAAGGTGGGGTTTGCGGCGGGGCAGCTTTTTTTGTGGTCTGGTTTTTAACCTTGGCGCCTTTCTTTGGTTTGGCCATGAGATGACTCGAGCACCGCTAGATTGAATGGAAGGATGTTGGATGAAACGGTGTTGGATATAGAACGGAAGAAAACGATTGGCTGCCTCGTGTGGGAGTTCTCAATCGTCGCGTGTTTGGGCGGCTAAATCCGTTGTTGAAGGGTAGATATGCCGTTCTGGGCGTTGCAGACGAGTTTTCAGGCTGTTGGAAAGGAGCAAATGGAGTGGAAAGGGAGCCTTGGATGGACGTTTGAGTCAGAATCAAAATCTTGGACAGACAAGTATTGGCGACATCACGTGACCAGCTTCAATTGGGGCCAGGGCAAAGGGTTGGCTTTTTGTCAACTTTTCTGTCGAGTCCATTTGGATCTTACTCGGTCTTGACTCGGGCCTTTGTTTTTCTTCATTCCCGGTATTTCATTTCACGTCCCTCCGTCCCCTGCGCAGTGATCGATATTCCATGCCCTTGACCCATTATTATTCAAGTCTTGCTCTATCTCATTGCTCTGCGACGCATGAGAGGCGTTATCAGGCCTACCAACGCGTGGTCGTACACCAACACCGTTCATTTCAGATCCGTTCATCTGCGTCCGCACAACGATGCATGTGTTTCTGCCTTCTCCTATCTCCATCATCTGGCCTCGATGATCTCACGTCCTGGATTGATCTGTGTCAACCACCGCCAATTGGAGACCCCCATTTCCCAAATATTACTTGTGGACCAGCAATCACCGACCTTTTTTTTTTTTACCTGGTTTCAATCCCTCTTCCCATTGGACCTTTTACGCTTTTCCTCGTAATCGATCACTCCTACTACCAGAGTGATGATGACACCAGCGATAAGACCCTGGCATGCGCGACCTTGATCGACATGTAATCTCTACGTGAACCGTACCATTCAAATCGCTATAATCCCGTGTTCCGGAAGCGCCTTCAAGGTCGTTCCGCTAGTTCATCAAGGTCTCCTTTTTCCGTTGATGCACCCTTTCGACTCTCAGGAGCACGAAGACCGGCGCCTTCAACCTGTCTTCTATCTCTCCGGCTTCGTGTTGTCGCGTGAGTCCCTTCCTAATCTCCGGAGTCTAATAATGGCCCGCAGCTGTCCCACAAACCTGAACTTTACCATTGTATTTCCGTGTCTCCGGCCAATCACTTGGTCGAGATTATTCACTAATACCTCCATCCAAACCACTTTTCATGTTTTAAATTTCTTCAGCGATTGATGTATGCAATAAAAGCGAAAAATCTCTTCCGTTGATCCACTGCCGTTACGGGATGCTCGAAATCAAGTATTGCTATTCATAGCGGGACAATTTAGGACATCTAAAACTATTAACAGAGCAATGACCACATTGCCACCATATCCACCACGGCTCCGAGTGCAGCAAACGACCTTTGGCCTGTTTTGCCAGTACCGATAAGATACGCTCCGCGGTTCTTATTTCATCAGTACAGACTCCGAAGCATACTTCCTGATTCCCTTCGCGGCGACTGTTAGCCACAAATATCTGCATCGTCAAATATGGCACTTTTCTTCCTTTAGATCGTAGAAGAATTGAATCGATAATGCCTGTGTTTTTTGTCTTATTCTTCCTCTTCCCCTGCTGTTGCGAAACTGCTGAATTCGTGCATCCCGCCAGTCTGACTTGAGTGAAAGTGAATTATGATCCGACGATGCAGGGTTCTGAGTAACAGCGCACAACACGAGTACCACGACTGCACACATACTGCCACCACATGTGCTGACCGACCAAAGACCGATTTTCGTGATTCCTTCTCTCCAAGTACCTGCTTTTCTGACAGTCAGTACTGCGATCCTGCTCGTATCACCTTTTCTGATTGGATGAGTCGGTACAGGGACCTCTACAATTGTGCCTCATATACCCGCTCTGCTGTACGCACAATATCCTCAATATTCGATCATCAAGACATTCTACGGTACAAATCTGCCTTGTCAGTATCGTGTAACAGGCTCTGATTGTTCACGATTGCCTCGCAACAGTCGCGTTGGATCTCGACGATAATAAGTGCGGCTTCAATAAATGTGGAAATGATGGTGACACTGAGTGCCAGTTCTAGATTTCCTGTTGCTGGGAAGGGCCGTAAGGGACTACTCGGCTCTATAGGCATCCTCTCTTCCATTGCCGTCGTGAGTGTTTACACGTGCTGTGAACAGAATGCGATCTAACTAAAAGCCAGGCTTTTCGAGATAAATAGGTCCGCACCATAGCAAATATCACAGGTTTCGAGTTTCGTGGAAGTAGTGAGCCATCTACACGTGTAGTCATACCCTGAATTCTGATTCTTTTAAAGTCGTATGCAGCCAGTCCCTTCTCTCTTCTAATCTTCATATTCCTACCAATCTCCCATGTCTACGGATACCGTGATCTCGGAACGTGCAACACACCTAGACTTGCACGAACCTGACGACCAATGGGAAGCCGAACTCAAGGAAAAGCTCTCTGTAGCCTTCAACGACATGTTACGGCAGGCCAAGCAGAAGCTTGAGGATGACCTTAATAGCCTCGGTGGAGACAACATTGACGCTGCTCAGAAGAAGAAGCTGATTGGTGAGTACCAGGCCAGCGAACGCCAGATCAAGAGCTACGCAACCCAGAGCTTCAGATTCGAAGTCGAGAAGGAAAGAGAGCAGAGACGGTGGGCGGCTGGGCTTGAAATGCGGACCGGATGGAAAGAAGACCTAGAGAACGAGCAGATGGCGATCATGAGTGGCATTCGTAGACAAAGGACTGGCAGTGCCGGAGCAGAGTCAAACGCGAATCCGAAAGGAAGAGATAGGGAGTCGACACAGCCGGACCGTTTGTCTGATTCGCGGCAGCAGACAACTACAACTACAACTACACCTACACCTTCAGCTACTCGCCCTTCACCCATACCTATACCAACTGTCCAGAGACGGTCATCGACATCAGGAACACCCGTCAACTCGGTGCCTAAGAATCCAGAGGTGTGGATACCACCGAAATCTGCTGCTGAGGACAAACCGAACCTTCTTGGGCGCCGCACGAGTCAAGCCAGTATACGTACGTCGCCGTCCCAGAATTTTAGGCCGTCCGCCCCCATTCCAGAGAACCAGAAACCATCCAGCAACACAGACAGTAGGTCATCGTCGTCGCACGTATCGAAGGCATGCGCTCCCCTTCCAGAGATTCCGAAAGACACGGCGACCGAGAATGATCATTCTGAAAGCCGGACGGCGTCGTCTCAGACTTCTCGGCCATCTGTTTCTACTTTGGAGAATCGGAATCATTATGGTAATCTAGACAGAGATAGCCGGTCGTCGCCTTCGTACACGCTTCGATCGGAGAACAACAGGCGCTCCATTCCCGAACACGATAGTGTAGAGCATCAAACAACAACCACTGGACCTGTTATCCCGATACACGAGCATGCGAATGCAGAACGAGAGAAGGCTCGTATGGCGGAGGCGGATCAATTGTGGGCATCTCACACAAGAGCCAAAGGGAAGGAGATCGAGATCGAGAGGGACCGGCCATCATCACCTTTGCTACGATCCGTTTCCAATCAGGATGTGGGCCCTCCCCCTCCCCCGCCTATAGCTACGAAACCTGTTTATACTCCTCATCCAAGCCTGTTGACAACGTCGCGTCCAAGCAGCACGGCATCATCTCACCCACCAGCCACTCTGTGAGTCGCTTTTCTTCTGGTTAGCGACCCTTTTAATCTGGTCTAGTCGTCAGGTACCATCCTTTTCTGACGGTCCTCCTCCCCAGTGAGTTAAGGTAATGCTCATGCATTTCCAGTGACTTATTTCCGTAGTCGCCAGCCTTCTCTCGATACGCCTTCCCCCTCTTCGTAGTAAGCATATCCAGTCTTCCTTTCTACGTAACTGTTAGTCATGTTTTACTTGCTTAGTCGTCAACCTTCCCTCGACACATCTCCCCCCTCCTTAAGGTCAGTGTACTCTTACTCCATATTATTTCTTCTTATCCAATTTTCCTCGTTTCAGCCGCCAACCCTCTTTGACATTCTCCAGTAACAACTCCAACCACCATCCCCATCCTCGAATACCGGAGTTTCCGCCACCACTGATACCTGTTGATGGATCGGAAGCATATCGTTCCTCAGAGCGCCAGTATACATCTCTGCAGTCTCCTTCTCATTCCCAAACGTTGGCGTATACGTACGGACCGTCCCAGATGCCCTCGCATCCACAGCGCCAGCCTTTCCCTCCAGCAAAATTTTCAAATCTGTATCCCTCTGGAGGTGAGCTACCAGCCTGGCAACAATGGGGGGGCGAGAAACATTGGGCAGAGCTCAGTGATGATGGTTCGGAGAGCTTCTCAGAGGACGATGAGGCGATCTGGAGCTCGCACGATACAGAGCCATTTGCGAGGGAAGAAGTTGCACAGGATGACATGTATAGACAGGAAGCAACACGCACAATGGAAAGACCGCCAAGACGAGAGGCAGTGAGGGGGGGCGCCGCTTGGAAAGAGGAGAAATCACGGCGGGAGGAAGAAGCGAGGAAAGAAGAGGCACTACTGGAGATGAAGAGGAAAGAAGAGGAAAATAAGCGTAATGAGATGGAAGCCCTGCGCAAGTCGGAGGAAGCGCAGCGTAAAGCAGATGAGGCAAGGAAACTGGAGGAGGAGGCAGAAAGGAAAGCGGAGGAGGCGAGAAGGATTGAGGCAGAAACAGAGAAGAAAGCAGCCATCCTGAGAGCGCGCGAAGAAGCTTTGAGACAGCGCGAACAGGACCTGGAGAAAAGAGAGAGAGAAGCACTAGAGGCCGAGTTCAAGAGGAAGGATGAAGAACTGAAGAGGAGAGAGGAGGAACTTGCCAAGAAGGAGGCGGAAGATCTGAAGCGGAGGCAAGAGGAATCGGAAAGAAGAGAAGCTGAGGCGAAACAGAAAGCAGAGCAGGAGAGACTCGAGGAGGAGGCTGCTAAGGCGAGAGAGAAGCAACAAATACAGAAAGACAAGGAACTTGCAGAACGTCTTCAACGAGAGCAGAACGAGTCGTCGTGGAAGGAGAAGGAACGGGCTGACAAGATCAGAATGGAAGCAGACAGAAAAAAGGCGGAAGAAAAGAAAAAGGCGGATGAGAAAAGAAAAGCAGAGGAAAGAAGGAAACTGGAGGAGTTTCAGATGACGCAGGCGCGCGCTCGACGGAAGGAGGAGGAAGCCAGGCAGCAGCAAGCAGATTTCCAACGACGTGAAGAAGAAATCCGGAGGAAACGACAAGATAGTTGGACTTCCGAGGATAGCAAAGCTCGTTCTGCCAGTGGATGGGGTTCAAGTGCGTCAGCGTCATCTTCTGGGTGGGGTTCCTCTCCGACTGCCTCTAATCCAACCTCTGGGTGGAAACCCACTACGCCCAATTCCAGCAGGACATCGACTTCTTCCTCGACCCCAGGATATAAGCCAAGGTCAGGGTCTACTTCGTCGTATTCACAACATCAGTCTCCCTCGACGCCTTCTAGTACACCTCAGACTCCAGTTTCTGATGCTGAATGGCGGCGGAGACAGGAAGAGCAGGCACGAGCACAGCAGGAGAAATTCCGTACGGAGCAGGAACGGCTTGAGCGGGAGCGACAGGCGAAGGAGGCGGGCAGGATCATGTCGAAGGACGAGGTGGTTCGGCTGTTCCAGTCACATGAAAGTCAGTGGCAGAAGCTGACTAAAGGGAAGATTGAGAATGTTATTTGGGATGCGTTTCCTTGGCCGATGATTAAGAAGCCGAAGGACGTTGCGGATATAAATGCTGGTGCGATACAAGCGTATGTGCTTAATCCGCATTTTCCAAATAATAATGGCAAAGGGGATAAGGACAAGATTAAGGAGCAGATTCGAAGATGGCATCCGGATCGTTTTGAGAGGCTCATGCCTCGGGTCGCAGAGGGCGATAGAGACAGAGTCAGGGAAGGCGGGGGCGAGGTGGTCAGGGGATTGAACGATTTATTGACCAAGGTCAACGGTCCTGCAGGGGTGTTTGGGTGAGGTTTGCTTGTATGTTTGGAATGAACGAACGACACAATCTATGTAGCATCTTTGGTTTTCTTTATTCTGTCATCTACTCACAATGTATATGGACTACCCTGCAGTCCTAGGTCTTGTATAAATATATCACCACTCTTGTAATATATATTTTGTTAAAATTTGGGACTGGACTTAGTGGGACAGTGTCCTCTTTTTGCAGCAAAAGTATCCTGTACAGAGTTTGTCTTTCCGGATGCCTGTATTCCTTTTTATTGGATATACTCTTCCTTCATCTTACTGACTCTGACACAGTTTTCTCATTCTATATATTTACGCTGCTTGTTGACCAGATAAAATTCGGAGAGCAGTGGTAGCTCGGATCTCCCGGACTAAATTTACCCATTCATGTCTTCTGGATATTCTGGATGTTTGAAATGATTGCAAAGACCACCTCCACTGTAGAGTACCATTGCAACCGTCGGTAGCGAAAGAAAAACAAGGACAGCCGGAAACAGGATAAAGAGTAGTAACAGAAGACCGGGCCTGGGGTCACTGCATCCTTTTTGTTTCCTTCCGGACAGGACCACTGCGACAATAAATACTGAACCGGTCCCATTGGCGTTTTATTCACACTAACGTCAAATTTCTTGTATCTGGGGTGTGCTTGGACTTGCCTTGACCCTTCGGCCCGTGCTTTGGCATCCGCCGCAAGACAGTAGCAAAGACAAGACCACTTCTGGAAGTATAAAATGATATCACTGAAGGGGCTCTTCACTCGTTCTGCATTCTAGCACATCCGGCCTCGCTCTCGCCTTGACTATGCCTCGCAACTCGAAATCCACCTCAATACGAGTCAACCCGCAGCAGACGCCGGCTCTAAACGTGCAGCTGGATCCCAAAGAGTTCTCCATGTGGCGGCGAGAGCGATTGGCCTACCTACAGGCCCTGAATCGTGGTTCACGGTCGGGTGCCGTTAGAAAGAGTCTAAGGCAAAAGAGGCGAAGCCGAGTCAAGTCTACCACTCCTAATTCTACCCCCGGACTATCTTCATTCGTTGCTCTCCCCTCTGCACCCAGCACACCAGCATTCATGCCTCGGGAGAAGACGAGCCCACCCCCCGCGCCACGAGCTTCGAAGAATAGAGTCATAGATCTTGGAACTCCTACGCCGCCGCCGCGCAGATCTAGAGTCATTGATCACAACTTCCTCACCGTCGGTTCACTATTCCACATCAGGAGCTCTCCAGACATCATCCTAGAGGACATGACTGAGGATGAATCAGATGCTTGGCACGAAAACATGCGGGATGCGTTTGAGGGTGCCAACAAGATCAGGAAAGCCAAACCGAGCCAAAGTTTCTAAGAGCTGCCGCAAGTTTCATGATACATATTTTACGTTCATCCTTGTATAAAGTATATATAATTATGAAGTCCTTCCTGCAGTTAAAGAATCTCTGAGCTGCTTTCTATCATGGTATGCCGGGTATTTCCCAAAATCTAGGATCTTCAGCGTACCGAAGAGCCAATCTGACGGCTTATAACGAGCAATGCACATTCGTCCAGAGCCTTCATCCCACGACAGACTCTGTGCGCCATTCTCCAGCTCTCCTTTCAGGTAATTCTGGGTCAACGAGTATAGCGGGTCCCATTCCTTCGCTCGGGGACGGACGGTCTGAGGGCCTTTGAAAAGACCTTTGGCGTAGTCCATGTTCGTTATATTGTATCCTCGCCACCACGACGTAATTTTGGGCGCTTCTGTGCGGTCGAACCAGTCCGTGTGGTATGCAACAGAGCGATATGCCCCCGGAAGAACATTGAGACGACCAGCGCTTGGCACCTGGATAGTCGTAACAGTGCGCTGGTTCAAATCGTACTCCATTGACCCCGTTTTGTTATTTCGGTGTAGCTGCAAATTAACTGTGCCGATGATACCATCGACATGAGTCAAGTAGATGGCAATTGGGGGAGCTATGGACGGAGGAGAATTTATCCAAGGCGAACCATTGGCATTTTGAGGCATGTACATGTCGGAGATGCATGCAGCGTCAATTCTGTTATTCGAAACGTGAGTAACAACCTGCTGCAAAGGAAATGTGATGTGCTGTGCAGAGACTTGAGGTATAGCATAGAGTTCGATCTGATCCCCGTTAACATCAGCTCGCACGAGGAGAACATGGGCCTGAGCAGGAAGAATTCTGAGCGCAAGAATCCTCTATGAGTAAGAACGTTAAGAGGACGTTCTGAAATCACGTTATATTTTGTAGTACTAACCTGATTAGGCCCCATGTCTGGGCATATGAAGTGCGTCGTGCGCTGAGTGTCAAAGTTGACGATTATAACCCGGTTTTGGTGACACACAGCAGCGCAAGGGGCCCCAAGATATTGACATAAAGAAGGACGCTCCGGCCGCCTATCACCAAAGCAGACAGTACTGGACCATTGGAAAGGACTGGGAAGTGATTTTGCATATTCCCGAAAAGTGGACGAAGTGTTGTCTTTTTCGGGGTCTGAGATGTACTCCAAAGATCCTAGCGCGACAGAAGTACAGACGCAGTCATACGATAAAGGATGTTCCACGTCTGCAGCATCGTAGCTTAGCGTCGATGGATCTAGGCTAGAAGAGATGCTTGAGCGTCTATGAACATGCAAACATGAATTGAAACAGACCTGTACAGCGTCCCGGTCGGATAGCCTCGTCGAACGTAGAATATCATGATGCGCTGTTCTCCTTGGTAGTGCATGAACTTAGCCCGCAGATGATACGCCCTGCTGGGCAAGGCTATCTTTGCCAGCAGATTATTTCTCTCAGCAGGCGTTTCGTCGACATCAAAAATGGCCAGATAATACCGATAATCCTTCACGTCGGCCATAGATGCGACGAGATACTTCCCTCCAGGAAGAAGAGATACTTCGAGAACTTTGTCGCCCGGCGTCTCTAAAATGTAGGTGAATCGTATGCAAGGTTCTACTATCCAGTTCTTCTCCAACGAAGATGCGCGTATGAGAGCCCTTTCGAGATGGTGATCTCTGGCAGGAGTATGCTGAAAGGGAGGATGTGAAAGGGGAAGAGGGAGGTGGACCTTTTTGAGCATCCGCTTCCAGAGCATGAAATCATGAGTGAGGTAGAAGAAACTTTTGTTGGCCTATAATGGAATGAGAACCTAGAGCGGTGAATACTAAAACAAGACGTACTGATCGTAGAGCCAGAAGATCACGAAGAGACAAACGGGGGAATATGAGCTCGAGAAGAACTTCAGGAGGGAGCGCAAGAATGAGACATGACCCTCTTAGGAGCGAAACCAAAGGCTGGAAGAAATCAGATAGGAACATCATGGAGATTGTGTTCAACGACCTGGATAGCGTTAAATTAAATAAAGAAAAATACAAGGCAAGAGCAACAGAACAGGGCCGACAGGAAGCAGTACAAGAGACGATGGATACAGCACAAATTACAAACACAAACTACTATACAAGGATCAATGAAAGTACAACGCTGTCATTCAAAATGGAAATCAGGGTCTCTTGTCGACCACCATGTCGACCACCTGCTATCTCGACATCAACATCGGCGACCCTCAGCGATATAACGATGACAACGCCAGGCGATGGCAGCGGCGGAGAGGTGTCCCACACTGTCGTCATCCAAAAAGCCGGTCTTCAAACAACTCCATTCCACGGTAGTCTTGCAATGGCCAACTCCGGAGGGAAAAACCCTGTCAACTCTTCTCCGTTCTTCGTTGGCCAAGCTTAAAGGTAAGATCCTTCATTGCTCTCCATCGCTGCTAGACCCAATCTCTTTGCAGAAAGTACGTCATATTTGGGCGAGTCAAGGGCGGAGATGAAGATGGCGTCCAGGTATTAGAGAGGTTGAACGTGGTCGGTAGTCGACCCGAAAGTAAAGATGAGAGACCACTGGAATCTGTATGGATTGGCGATTGTGGTCTAGAGTGATACCTGACGGTAAGAACTTCTTCATTCACACGTCACTTTCTGTGCTAATAGTACTCCCATGTTTGGCTTAGTAGGATTGTGAACGGATATTGGTATTCTATGACGGCAGATTGAGGCTGTAAAGTGTGTCCAAGTATGTCACTGAAAGCCGCCTACTGAATGCCTGTATCTAATCTGTCTGTCCAATGTCAAAGGATTGCAATAATAACGGCAAGTCTCTGGATATAACATCCGCGAGGTACACAGAAATTCATTAAACTATTTTACAGGGCAGTTAAGAGGTGTCTACACTACTTGAAATAAAGTTATAACGAACGCCGCCGGAACATAAAGTTAACGAAAATAATAACAGAATGGTAAGAGGCACCTAAACAGCGTCCTTCTTACCAACAAATAACACCTTCTGCTTCTTGAGTGCAGCTTCGATAACCCTCATACCTGCAAATACCTTCTCTTCTTCGAATCGGCGACCTACCACCTGGACACTCAGGGGGAGACCGTCCATCTTCTCCGCATTGTACGTTGACCACGCTTGGCGGGCGGGAGCAGACAATGATTGATACATCAAAGTCGATTCAAAGTCCACGGGTAGGGAATCGAGGTCCTTCCGCACGTTCGTTACCGGGAGGACACCCGCCGAATAGTCCAGCTGCAAAATAGTAAAATCAATCAGCTTGGACCTAGAGGAAGGGGAATGTGATGTACCATATTGAACAGGAACGTGTAGCTAGCACTCATCAGAGAGGCTTTTTCGCCGTCACCATTTTCCAGTGCGGGAAAAGGCAAGGTGACAGTCAAGACAAAGTCAAGACCCTCATTCTTCCACTTTTCGTGCCATTGCTGCCGCAACTCGTCGCGTTGGACGATTAGTTGGCGTTCCTCGACAATGGTCTGCTCCTTCAAATTGTCCGGGAACTCGAGCTCGGTTTTTCTGGCGATAAATGACCATAACCTCCGGACGGTTCTCACGAAGCGTGAGCGGCTAACATGTTTTAAGACAGATACCAATGCCGCATTCAGCGTTTCTCCGGGAAGAAGGACATTGCGGATTTGACGACCTTTGCACATGTGTCAATCAAAAACGGAATCTTTAAGGTTTAGCAGGGTAACTGACCTCCGTCTGCGAATACTATTTGATAGCCAATGCTCAATACTTCCTCGATTGGCGGTGAGCTAACGAGTGTTGGTGAACAAATGGCGCCAAAAGTCAAACTGTTTAACTTACAAATCGACGACTTCATGGCCATCTGCTTTGAGAGCTCCGACAACGGTGGATAAAGCACGTTTGCAGGCAGGTGTTGGGGGTATCGTATCTAATCAACAATGTCACGAGGGAAGGGGTATGCGGGTAATTCACGTACTATCGGTCCATATGACACCCCATTTCAGCTTTCGCCCTTCTTCCAGGAAGTCTAATGGACGCCACTGAAGAGGAACACACTAAGATAATGTCGTAAGTGATAACGCCGAACTAGCGCGAAAAACAAACGAACGGTATGGTCATACGTCCAGGGCTCCATGTCAATGACCCGCTTGTAGAACTCCTCTAGGTTGTCCAAGCTGTTCGCCAGTGGGCCAGTCAGTATAGGTACCGCCTCGAGGCCCGTCATCGGCGACATGTTGCCCAACACCGGAAAGCGGCCGACGCTTCCCTTCATGCTCCATATTCCACAGGTATGGGCGGGCATCCGAACGCTGCCTGCAACGTCGCTTCCGACTTCAACCATGCTCCCGCCCCAAGCTACGAGCGCGCCACCGCCACCGGTAGAGGCGCCAACACCATGCGTAGCTTTGTATGGATTGGTCGTTCGACCGAAGAGATCTGACTCTGTCTCCATCGAAAACAGGGCAGTGGGTACGGTGGTCTTGACATGGATAAGGGCACCGGCGTCTCGAAGGAGTCGGACGATGGAAGCCGAGCTCTTTGCGGGTCTGTCTGAAAATCTCGCAAGACCGATGGTTGTATCATGATCTTCTATGTCGAACGAGTCTGTTCAAGGGTCAAGAAGAGATCCGGAAAAAAAAAAACAATAGAGACGCGTGCCTTTGACACTGACCGGAACACCAAGCAGGGGCCGTGAACGAAGGAAATCTGACGCACGACTATCTGAATCGGCACCTGGACCGTAGTGCGCGAGAGACGACGAGTCGAGGGCATGATTGACCATGATATCAGTGATGCAGTTGGACTCCTTCTGGGCCACGAGCATCTTCTTTGCATATGCCTGCATGACGTCCGCAGGGTTCAGGACGCCGGATCGACATTGAGTAACGAGCGATGCCAATGGAAGGGCGTGGATTTTCTCTTCTGCAGGGGTCAGAGGGTCGTTGTACGTGACGGGGAGTGCATCTATCTTTCGCTGACGGTCGTCGCGCTTCCATGCGCTGGAGAACTGGTGAGATATGTTTAGGATAAAAAAAAGAAAGGAAACTGACCAAGCACGGTGAAGGGTGCGCATGGGGGATATGGTCAGGATGGAAGGTGAACGGGAACTTATAACATTGCAGCCGAGGAGTTAGGGCGCAAGGATAAGAGAATTATAGAGGCCATTATAGCGGAGATCCCGGCTGCTTGTCGTGAATATCGTTAATACGAAAGCTAGAACTCAAGGCGATTAGAAATTATCGAAGACACTTTGATCGGCAACCCCCGTTCGGACACAATCAAATCCCAAATCCACCTCAGATGAGTAAAGTATATTCACTCACTTACAGTGCAACAGTGCAAGTCTACATTCAAACAAAAGTCGACAATCTGCACAAATTCATTCAACAAGGAAATTTTTGGACAAACCACCGACTTGCCAGTCGGCCCCGACATGTCAACCAGGCATGGCATAATCCACCCCTGGCCCTTGACAAGTCGATACATTCAATAAAATTCGCCGAGCTAAACCTTGACCCGTACCAGTTATCCCCAATCACCCTAGCTTAGCGGTCGATCTCTCAACTGCCTCGATAAATTCCCTAGAAGACAGTTGGAATGCAGGAAACGGTCGACGTGACAGCTACCCGCCATATACAAAGTTCATGAACCACGTTACGACAAGCTAAATCGTGAAAACCCACCTCACTGAGGAATGGACTCCAAACTAGACAGCTGGTACGAGCATCCGACATGTCGCAAGACAATTAAAGCGAGCAAATTTGGTGAGTCTTGTTTGCGTGAGACATACTTCTCTATCTAAGTTACATACAGTGCTATACGAAAGCTGTCTCCAAAAAGCATGCCTTCGAAAGGTCCCGTACTCACAGAAGAGTTACTCCATTCATACAATGAGTGCCTTAGAATACGGAAAATGGTTAGACGCTCTCTCCCCTACCAACCGCATTTACTCAGCCTTGTCGTAAAAGATGGTCCCTTTCGTGCCGGTTTCAATGGCTTGAAAAATTGCATCTGGCGGTGATCGGTACACAAACACCCAACTAGTCAAACTTGGTATCCAAATGGAATCGACTGTGCATGCGCCAAGTCTTTCTTCGATGCGTCATCGTGGACGCAAAGTCGAAGGATGCAAAGTCCAGCCAACTCTAATCCGAAGTTACAAACGACGGATTGGGAATCTTTGGACTCGCATGCTGGCGACGCTCTGCGTCCATGCCAGATACACGAGATGAGCCATAATTTGATCCCAGGTACTGCGAAGAGAAGATTAGAGGCCTTCCTTTTCTCTCGCATCCATATTGACCTTGGGCAAGTGGCGAACGAGCCACCATTCCCGGTAAATAATCTGCGCCGGCCCATCACTGCATTCCAATTTCAAGACCAGAAAACATAGAAACAGGGGTACCAAGACAGAATTTCGGGATTTTTTCTTCACCGCATTCCAACAAAGGTCCAACTCTTTCTACAAGCAGCACACAAGCTTCTTCTGATTCATGACTTAGATAAAGTTGGGGATCATCGTGAAGAAGCATGTCGTCGGAGGTTCTCCAATACAAGAATTCATGTGGATACAGCGATCCGTTGGTCCTGAGATCACCACAAAGTGGTGACAGTTCCATTCCTGCGAAATTGGATAGAAGAAAATGCCTCTATTAATGCAAATTAATGCCGCACGAGGCTACGTATTTCGATGGAAGCAGGAAACGGCGGACGAATCAACTGATTTTCGTCGAAATCTTCTTCGTATTGATGGGATTCAAACAAAGCGGTTCAAGCCGCTCTGAAATCGTAAAATAAGTATGCATAATTGCGTTACCTGCCCGTACTCCCGTAAACGACTCCCGTGCTAGGAGCACTTCCATACATACGACGGGTCAGCGGTATCTGCTCATCAATACCAAACTCGTCCGACTCTGCATCAGAGTCCACATCGGTAAATCCCGCTTGTTGCGCCCATTCCAGCAGCCGCGAAGAGGATGGTCTAAACTTCGCGTGTCGCACACGCCGACGACTCCTGGGGTAAACAACACGGATGACGATAAAAGACCTATCAAGGTTAGCGTTGGCAATCAAGTAAGCCGGCATTAAACTTACAAAATAGCGAAGAATATGAGGAATAGCGGAAGAAGTCCAACTTGATGAACGGGGACCTCGCCGATGAGGTCAGGTTCGTGTGGGGGCTCCGCAGGAGGATCGGGGTCAGGTTCTGACGGACTAGTCGGAGATCCTGAGACTATACTCGAGCAGGCGTGTTTCGATTTCCACGTAAATGCGTGTGTGCCATTGAAGGACCATGCGAATTCGGGTTCTGTTGGCTACGTTGGTTAAGCATACTGGCTGAGCCGTACTACCCTCTAACTCACCTCTTCGACATCGTGGTCGCATATAAACTGAAACGTAGCCTTTTGCCTTACATTTCGACTTGTATACGAGCCGCCGTGGAGTGTCACTTGTAACGGTGCTAAAGTAGATTTAGATACAGACGCACTTTGCTTGCCATGGAAACGTACTGTGATAATCGTCTAGCTTCGCCTTTGCTCCAAGCTTGGCTGTTGGATTGAGATTCGGATCGACTGCTATAGGAATCACATTTGTAACGCGGGTGGATTCCGAAGGTCGGTTTGGCCATGCATTGGTAACTATAGGACTATCTTGGTGAATTCTATATCTGCAATTGAACGAAGAACCAACCGATCAGGCATATCCAAGTACCGTCAGGACACTCATAGGCAATCAGGATACAAGTCGCTCCGGCGAAGTATGCAAATACCTGTAGTTCGGCTGGTAAAGTTACATCCAGTTTCAAGGGGCCATTAAGGCTGATACTGTAAGAGTTTCTCGTGCGTGTTGGGGGAGTTTCTTCGTCCAGCGAAATCGCCAGCGGTCCGGGATGCGACGTGATGAGAGGGCATAGATCGAACATGTCGTTGTCGATTTGAAAACTACATTGAAGGGGAGCAAGTGTGGAAGGATCCATCGTGAGGCACGATATCTGTGCAAGACGCCTGCAGCAGTGGAATGCAGAAGACTGGCATTGTCAGTGGTTCTGCTGCTACGAGGGAATAGAGGACCATATCCGGACCGGTGGCAGCATCACATGTACATCCAGGGAGCGGTAGGAGCAAAGAACAACCAAGACTTGTGAAAAAGGCGTATTTTGGGGGCCATTTAGTGTCGCATAACCACCGCTTGGTTGCCCACGGTAGCCAAGGTAGTGAATACCGGAATTCTGGGCCTGCTGGTAAGAGGACATGCTGGTGGGAAAACCAATAACATCGGCAGACCATGCCGGAATAGCAGCGGGGTATCGGAATCTTAAAAATACACCGGCATCGCGGCACCGTTGGCTCTCTCAAACGACAATGTCATTCAGCGATCTACGAGCCTCCAGAAAGACAAAATCTTATGTGAACGGACCATCCACGAAGAAGGAAGCCAGGGAGGTACCTTCGGAACAACAGCCAGCGGTGGAATCTGCTCTACCTAGCAATGGACTTTATCGCGACTTGCCTCTTAGCATAGAGGTTCGGACTTGTGATATCTCAGGACGGGGCCTATGGAGCAAAGTAAATCTCGCAGCAGGTGAGTCATCTACATTCAAGAACCAGTCAAGGTGCTGACCTCCTCCGAGGCCAGGTTCTGTTTGCTGTACAACCTCACGTCGCAGTGCTTTCAACAGAAAAAATGGATGGATACTGCTCGGCGTGCTTTGGACTTCCACCTCCTTCCGGCCTGAAGCGATGTACCCAGTGTCGTTCAGTGTGGTACTGTGATTCGGTCAGTAACACTTGTTTGCATTAGTCCCATCCCTTATCCTTTGAGTAGACCTGCCAAACTAAAGACTGGTCTGTCCACAAACATGAATGTACATCTCTTCAGCGTTGGTCTAAAGCAGCACCCTCTGATGACCTTTCGATACCTAGCGATGCCATACGATGCATGGGTCGCATCTTGTGGATGAGACAGAAGAAAAGAGTAGATAGTGTCTGGGTAGGTGTCGCCTATTCGTCTTTCACCTTCTTTGCCTACTTTTTCTTCAGACCAGAGAGTTGGATGCCATGCAATCCCGTGAGTGATCCGTCGTATTTAAACGTCCACCGCTCTCATGCCTTTCTTCCAGACAGGAAAAATCTGCCGCTCTCTGCCTCGGAAATGCATACACATCTTGCTCATTCACTAGTTCAATATCTGGGACTCTCCTCCCCCGACGATTTACGACAGTTTGGAATCAACTCATCGGGTGATCTTGTGGATTTGATATCACGGGTGGGTACCCTGCATAATTTCATCCTATTTATTTTGATGTGTCTCCTCTAGTTCACCACGAATACTTTTACCATCACAGACGCCGCGTTGTGCCCTCTCGGAGTATCCGTTTCGCCTGCAGTCGCACTCATAAATCATTCCTGCGATCCGAACGCTGTCATTGTATTTCCTCGGGTATCGGCCCATCCGCAAGCAGACGAACCACTTATGCACGTCGTCGTGCTACGCAATATTCTACCTGGCGAAGAGGTATGTCATCCTTGCAGCTTCGTTCTCCTTCTCTAAGTGTATTTGGCAGATCGTGACGGCATACATCGATACAACTCTGCCCCGATCCCTTCGGCAAGGAAGTCTCAAAGAAACTTATCACTTTGACTGCAGGTGTCAACTGTGCAGATCACCTCCAGATATGGATCCTCGGGAGTCCATGTGGTGCACAAAAGCATGCGGAGGAATGTGTCCGCTACCGACGGAAGGTTTGATTCGGTTCTGACCCTTATATGCTTCCTCATATTGACCTAGTTAACAGAGAACCCGCTCACCAGATGCAATGAATGCAACTCGGCTGTTCAGTCAACCGATGCGGTGTTAGATGCGGTTCGTGTAGGCCAAGAAGCACTCGACAAAGCTATAGTTGTACAATTCAAAGGTAGAACCATTCTTACCTTCCGTTCGTTGACTGATCATGTTGTATAGATCCAGCAAAAGCGAGACAACTGTCGACTAAGCTCATTCCTATACTCACCTCTGCGGGTCTCACGCCTTCCTGTCATCCTCTCCTCGGGCTAACTATTTTACATAAATCCTTCCTCATATCATCATTCTCGTCATCGTGCACACAAGAATACCTTGATAATACCGTCCGAGTGGCGACGAAAGCGCTTACAGGATTGGTCAGTATTCACAGAGAAGGTCATCCGGTACTTGGAATTGCGCTCGCTGAATTGGCCAAGATACTTGCTGTGGATGAACCTTCGCCGCGTGAGACCAATGAACCGGGGTTCTACCCTCCGTCTGGTCCACCGAGATTGAACCTCGCTTATGATACGTTCATACGCGCGAGGAATTCACTTATGATTGGCTTTGGTCGGATGAATGAAGGTGGAGAGATTGGCCGCCATGTTCGGGACGCCATTGTATCGCTGGAGAAGGAGATTGGGGTTTGGAAACAGGGTGTCCGGAACGTTTTTCAGGATACACCCAAATCAAAGTGATCTTGTCACGCGTTTGCAGATGCCGCCCAAAACGACAAGTCATTGGGTATAGTTGACCGAATGAGCTCATGCGTGTATTATATGAACTCGCCCGAAACTCAGAACAAACTCAGTAGATTTCTGTTCGTTCTGAACATCCTCCCTGCCAATAATTTGGATAGAAACATTTGTTCTATCTTATTGGAAGTGTACCAAGCTCAGGCAAACAGAACAGTCAGAGAGACGTGGAATCCATTTCTATGTGAGGGAAATCCACCCACAGGTCATGTCTACGCAAGTGATGTCTGGAAGTGATATACATTTGACTGGAGATACAGTCGCACTGTCCTGGTTTGACTTGTCTTGCATTCAAAAGGTACGCATTGACCTCATGATGACACCTTCAAATTTATTGATGCGTTATGGATTCTAAAAGCCCCAAAGATCCTGATGCCAAAGTACAAATATGCGGAGAGGCTCCAAGGATATTGAACACTGCTTACTGGAACTCCACGTCGTACCTTGACATGCGGTCTGTCAGGTTAAATGATATTCTCTTGGGAAGCATTGAGATTGACGTCCCGTGGGTTATTGAAGACGATGATTACAGCATCCTTCGTGTGTCTACCGTTCTTGCCGCCTGATACAACTTTATTCATGGCGTTATTACCTTTCATAGTCTTCGGAGGGTCGGGCAACTGGGGAAAACAATTCACAATCAGTAGTGGCCCCGAATACCGATGCTTTTTGATTGATATATATGCATTCTGTATCAGGACGATGCTTTTTCACACGTTCAATCGATCATTCACAGTCCTCTTCTGCTAATTGTTGAATCTACGTAGTACTTCATATTAATCGAGGCGATTGTTCATCAAGTTATCACTTTGCCATATATTGGTCCTATTGACCTGAGTCTCACGTGAAGACAGGGAGGCCAGGTACATGACCCTATCTTGGCGTATGTGACCCCTCTTATGTCAGTGAGAAGAGGTCAAAGGTCATGTGACCGCGTCGCCAGAAGTGAGTCGTGACTTTTGGACGGGCCTTGTGGACTTTGCGCAAACTTTACATGTCTTAATACGCGTTTCTCGACAAAAGTCCTCGGTTGGATTTCAGCACAGCTCTGAAGCTTTTGGTGGTCTCTAGATCATCTGCGTTCCCTTGGCATGACTCGGAAGTCTTCTGGAAACTTGAACATCAAAGCTTGCACTCTAGGCACCAAGCTCACGCAAGGCGTGACATATCGAAGCACCCTTGCTGAAAGAACAACTTCCTCGCGACTCTTCGGATGTGCGGTAAAGACGGCATAGAATTTCTTGAACAGAAGAGAGGCCAGGGTGGATGGCGACAGCGGTGATTGCTGAAAAACGTCGTAACAATGACAGTGAGATGGAGGTCGAGGTGAGTAAGCCATTGTCATCTACCAAATACTTCGGTGACGAGGCTCTTTAGAAGCCTCGCAGACCACCCGAAAGCCCCGAAATAGAGGGACTGGGGCCTGGTGGGGAGCAGAACTATGGGAAGCATTCCATTTTTTCTGGCAAGAACTGACTGAATACCCTTATACCGTATTGCCGAACCGCTCCCGAAGTATTCAACTAGAGAAGACTGAGAGACTGGAGGCCGAGGGCTCAGTCCGATAGGGAACCCTTACCGTGAGTGCGATCAGAGAGCTGATCAAAGGCGGACCGCTTTGGCTGACTCCGGGGGGGGACCCTGAATAGGAAAAACGATTTCAATGATTGAATATAATTCGAAGACATCAGTGGTAGGATATTGAGATGTGTATGACATGTTGAAGGTAACACGTTTCTACTTTCCTCTTGTCGTGCTAGCAAGTTTTCCTCTTCTTCAGCATGAAACCGACATACGATTAGCCGACTATGCGGATCGAATTATTATCACTTCGGATCAACTTTCTTCAGATCACGAAGAGCTTGCGGCATATCACGAGTGGCCTCCCCGTACAGCTATGAAGCACCAGCACGAACAAAGGGTTTTGTGATATGTCGAAATTTGCTAATTCGGCCCGCGACATGGAATAAATGCTATCAAACATAATCCATGTTTTCTCCCTCCGCTTTTCATGCCCAAACCGCGAGCAGTCGACGGTGTATCATTGAAATGGGTCGACTGTGGCGCATCCCCCAATCCTTCCCACAGGAACGTCCTTCGGCATACCTTGGGTGCAAGGTGAGGTTGATCGGACGACTCCAATTGCTCTCACATCCTCGGACGTTTCTATACTGATCCAGACATGGCCGTTAGCCTAGTGAGTCCTATCGAAATATCCTTTTCTAATATCCCTAAGGCCTCTCTACTAGTTGGATGGATGGCAGCCTGAAATGGACAGGGCACGCATTGGCAGCTGACAGTCCCTTGCGTGATACATTCAAGATATCGACCGACACTCCTACAGAACCCTCTTTGCCAGTTTCTGTATCTGAGTCTTCCACAGAGATTACTATCACCACTGGCTCATTCACAGGTGACTTTTTTTCTCCTCGGCACCAAGACATTTTACGGAATTCCACGTGCATTAGCCGTCTTCAATACATCTGGCGACGTGTTGATCCAATCACTTGGATTCGATGGACAAGTCAAGGCGCAGAACGGCTCCCTTGTCGTCCATCTTCAAAACAGTCCTGACGAACCAGAGCTTGTGGGAGACAAACCGAGTGTTCCATAGACTCCGTTACTGTTGAGCAGAGCGGCCCTGTTCGTACAGTCATAAAGGTCTGAGCTACTGTATAATCCAACGTTTTCAGTAATACAATCCGTTTATAGATGACTGGGAAGTATGCAGGGCCAGGGCATGTCGCTTTTCTACCTTTCATTGTCAGGTTTTATGTTTCTGCCGGCGCGACTTCAATTCGATTGGTACATTTCTTCATTGGTGACCAGACGCAGGACTTCATCAAGGGACTGGTAAGTGACAATCAGTGACCAAGTGATTCACCTCTTTACATTTTGATTAGGGCCTCACTTTTGCAGCTCCCCTCAGTGATCTACTCCAAGATCGACATATTCGTTTTGCTACTGCAGAAGGTGGTATATGGGGTGAAGCGGTTCGGCTATTATCCGGGTTGCGTCGAGACACCACCGATGCTGTCCTTGTTCCTCAATTTGAAGGGGAGGCTACCCCAGATATATCTACGTGGCCAGAGACAGTTTCTTCTGGTATCGATGATCTCCCCGTATGGGCGGACTTCACGCTAGATCAACTGTCGTCGGCGCATTTCACGATCAAGAAGAGGTCTACCGGAGGTAGAAATGCATCATTCATTGACCATGCAGGCTTCGGAACAAGGGCGGCAGGAGTTGGATACGTTGGAGGTGCAAACGGTGGCGGGACTCTATTCGGATTCAGAGGTGGGTGGAATTTCGTCGTTCATTGATTCGTCTAATGATTTGCCCAGATTTTTGGCAAGGCGCTCCCAGAGGCTTTGATATCTGAGGTGCAGGAGGTGATACAGCCACAGTCACTCTGTGGGCGTATAGTCCAAGAGTGAGTATCATTTTTAGTTAAACAACGATTCTAATAATGGATTGAAAGGCTCCTGCTATTGACATGCGACATTATGACACGGTGGCCCACGGTGTGAGTTTATCTTCCCCATCAGATATATCTCTCCCAACGCGGATCATACTCAGTTAGATTTAACCTACGAAGATGTAGGCGACCCAGACCCTAATCCAGTAGGCATTGGACGGTCATACGAAATTTCGTTGCAAGTGGTCAGCTCTACACCCTCCCGAGACTCAATCGCTCAGTGGGCCGGTGCCATCGTAAGTAAATTTACAGATGCATTGTACAAGTTATCTTCATTGGAGATTAGACCAAAGTCTCCCAAATTGTCGCAAGCCCTGAATTCTATGCAGTTCACAGGTTGTTTGGAGGTCGATGGCAAGTACAGCCTTTCTTTGTAGGGGTTGTAGGCCAAATATTATTGGTGCTGTTCCGAATCCAACAACTAGTGGAGCAGCAGATATCGAGAATAGAAAGAGCGCTCTACTCGACTTCTATGTTGCAGTATGTGATTTCATGATCATGTCTGGAATGTTCCTGCTCAACGGCCCTCGTGCTAGGAAATCGATCAGAGACGGTTCTACGGCTTTTGGAATTATGGGGATGTAATGCACACATATGATGAAACTCGCCACACTTGGAGGTACGACGTTGGAGGATATGCTTGGGACAACGGAGAACTTGGTAGCCCTTTGGTTCCAACGTATAAGATGGATACACTCATAAATTTATCTCAGCGTCGGATCTCTGGCTTTGGATGTCGTTCCTTCGCACGGGTCGCGCCGACGTCTTCCGCATCGCCCATGCTATGACTCGCCATCTGTCTGAAGTAGACTTCCATCACATTGGCCCCTTTGCGGGTTTGGGAAGTCGACACAATGTTTCACATTGGGGCGATGGCGCGAAAGAGGTTCGCATTACAGGAAGCACGCTGAAACGACCATTCTACTATCTCACAGGCATGTTCATGACTGGAACTGTAGCATCAGTAGCTGACACTCGTGGATTAGCGGATGAGCTTATCGGAGATATTATAGATTATTCTTTGCAGGCCGATGAAACAATTGTGACATGGGAGCCTCTGAGAAAAGTTTTGGTTCCTCCTGATCCCGCTGCGTGTCCTGGACGAGTGAGAATTGGACCAGATTGGACCACGTTGGCTGGAAATTGGTTCACTAAATGGGAACGAACTGTGAGTGCATCAACGTTATTCGGATGGACATTTTCATGGGCAATGTTGGATATTCCTAGAACGATTCGCAGTGGCTTGACAGGATCAAGACTGGGATGGTTAGTAATAACGGTTCTCTGAATATCACGGTGGTATTGAAACTATCTTTCAGCATGACATAGGCACCTTCAAGTACGGCCTTTTCACCGGATATACGGGTGCCGTAGGATGGGACCCACGCACAGCTCATCTAGTAGATTATGGCGCGGGCCCGGAAGATTCGTGAGGCATCGAGTTGTTTCTACAGAACTAGGGCACTCTAACTATTTAGATTCAATCTCAATGATTTTTGGGGGCGGAGAATTCCTGATGGAGGCCATGGAGGTGATCACGGATGAGCCTGATTTTGACACAGCTTGGGTAGACTTTTGCAAGATATTCAATGCGTCCGGCGCAGAGTGAGTAATGTTAATACCTTCTAGTGCTTTCCTGACTTTTGCCTAGTAAGATGGCGAGAGACGGAATCTCGTTTAGTAGCGGATTTGCATACGTGAGTCGTTGAGCTGACTATGACCGCACTGATGCCCACATTTCTTTTAGTGGTATGCCAAACTGCAGGCTTATGCTGGTGCCGTGATGTTCCATCCAATCGTTGACTTGCTAACGTGTTGCAGGTGAGCGTCTAAACGATAATACCATAAAGCAAGCCGCTTGGACGTCATTGAAATCCTCAGACATTGGTGTCTGGGATCCCGTTGCCCAGATCGGTGGAACGGATGTGATTAACCCTATTAATGAAGTTGGTCCTGGTTTTTGATGCCAACAAACGAGACTGAATTTTCATTAGATCCCAGATCTTGCTACCAATGACGCGAGTCAGCTATCTTTGACAGAGTATGCGATTCTAGCCATTGCACCAGAGTTCGCACCCAACACTGTTCGAGGTAACGCTAAGAAAGGCCAGTAAGAGGATTGAGATCGCTCGACACTTGCTTCAGGAAAAGAAGAAGCAATTGGAAAGATGAGCTCAGCCAAGTCAACTGGTAGGAAGTGGAGAGGATTGCTATGTACGATATGAAATATACTCATGCGAGAGTCCAATGGCGTCATATCCTCTTCAACATATTCCAACTGAGCTTCCTCGCCGTTGCCTACTGCTCTCTTTAACGTTTTTTGATTATTCCATTGCGTACACTCAGGGCAGTTGACGGAGTTCTGTCTGCTTGTCTCTCTTTACCTCTGTTCCTCATCTCCACGTCTTCATGAAAGTAATTCGCATTTACTGTTGGATACTGGGCCAGTTCTGGTTTTTGGTCTACGTCCTATCAGGGGTTCGGCACCGTTAAGGTTCAACCTCGGTTTGCGAACCGATATTGTCGGTACTAATATTTGTCCAATGCCAATAGAACAATATCTTCACCCCTCTATGGCCTTAATGGAGCTAAGTCCGAAATTCATAGCTATAACAGCGATATAGTATGCCGCAACATGAGTGATCATCATCATGATAAAAGTTCCTTGATGAACACATCCTCCAAACCATACGCTGTCCTCCAGTGTCATCGACCACCAACGGAAACCGGTCGTGGTCTGTTTTCACATGACCACTCTGCCGATTCCTAGGATCTTCATAATTTCAGTGATCAGGAGTGTGGCAGACACCAAGATGTGAATGGACACATCTCAGCTCCCACAAGAACCGGCTCATGGAACAAGAGAGAACTTTGAATCTGTATAAGCCAAATGCTACATAACCCTATTATTACATATTCATAAAAATTCAAGAAAACCACCCTTTTTTCTTCGACCAGTCCTTCTTTCCCTCATCCTCGTACTGCAAGAAGGCTTTTCCGTTATACATTATCAACTCAATTTTATCCCCATCTCTGGACCAGTCACCCATTTCACCAACAAAATAGCTTCTTGCCTGTCCCGATTCAGATAAGATCGTGGAACTGTCATACATCCCGATCGATAGCGCGATGTGATTGTTCAAGTCACCGGCGCTACAGTTGATGATAATTATACCATGGTAAGAACGAGGAATGTGGAAAAGCACAAAGCCATCGAGGGCTTTGGCAGTCAAGTGAAATGCTGGGCGGTTGGGATTTGGCGTATGCTGGAACACGGGTGGCGCAAATAGATAAGAAATAGAATTATTTTCGAAGAGAAGCGAAGGGACTTACGATTCTAGCTATGATAGGGAATGTTCCGGAATTCTCTTTAGCACCAAATAACCCGAGGTGTATGGTCGTCCGAGGAATCGGAGCGTAAGTGTTCAAAGGAGTTTCACCGACAATGTATAGGTCAACGTCAATGCCGCCGTTTTCCACTTCTAACCTGAGATTTTTCCGATCGACCTCTGTCTCATTCCGCCGCAGAGGTGGTAAGATCTCGGCAGGAATTTTTAAAAATGGATTGACGGTGAAGGTGCCTTTTATTGAAGAGTCGGAGCGGGAAAACATGCGTCGATGGGAGGGATTTTTACGGTATATACACGCATAGTTGGTTGCATTCAGTTTGGTTGGCGAGCTAGAGACAGGACGTTTGCTGGGGACGAGAGTAGCGGTGTCGTGGCCGCTGGTGGAAGGGGGAGGTGGTGGTTGGGGTGTTTGTGGATTGTGAGGTGGGTAGGTGAGAATGTAACCCTGAGAGGTCAGAGCAAGAGTTTGTGCCGAGGGATTTAGTTGTATATCAGAAACAGAAGGAGATTGAACACGGGGTGTTGTCTGCGCTGACTCCGGCAGGTAGCTTTGCGGCCTGGGCGAAGGGGTAGAAGGTCGACTTGTGGCAGACACCAGACTCTCGCATCCACTGGCACTGTGACTGTCACTGGAACTCTCGGATATTGGCGACAGAGAAGAGTCTGGCTGGTCAGAGCTGTAGATTGGGGGAGGAACACGTTCGACTGACAGACGTGTCATGTTGGTCGAAGAGAAAGCCATCCAACCGAGAACGAATCAACCAACACGGAAGAATGCCCGAATAGAAGGGTCCTTCTGATCCGGAATTCTCACACTCTTTGCTGCGGTAATTCAACGACACGTACCTGGTCAACATACTGTTGGTCATCAGGGTTACCGTGGAAATAAAGTACCGTCCAAAAATCAGTGTAAGCCCGTGCCATCAAGGAGCCAGAAAAAAAGGACTTTTCGTGAAGAGCCTCTGGGAATATCGCAAGTCCATTTACGTTGGCGTCCAGAGAAGGTCTAAAATGGCAACTTGCAAGTCAAATGATTTCGCCGAGCATGTGTACGTACCTCAGTGAAGCACACGCTTTGAACCTAAGCGTCTCGAGCACGTCTGAAATCGAATTCTGCAAAATAGAGTAAGGAGCAGTTAACATGCCTTTCATCAAGTCACAACCTCAAAGTTCTAACGTCCAACCGGTGTTTCAAACATTCCTTGCGTCACGCATGACAGCTGGGCGCCATGGCTCTTATAACAGCCCGCCACTTAATACGACATTGTATCGGCAGCTGTAAAGTATGAGACAGATAGAGAATCAGGTGGGGGGGATGACCGCAGATGATGATGGTACGAGTTAGAGGAGCAGTTTCACGGGCCAGTCTCCGCTTGTTCCAAAAGGTATCGGACTTGAGGCAAGCTTGGAGTTGTGTCCTTGTGCGAGGGACAAGCAGAGATTATACAACAATGTGATGATTGTGATCTGCATCGAGTTGGAAAATCCATCTATCGAGCACTGTGACCGGTTGAAGAGATTCAGAACATTATTGCACCGATTTGACGTATGACAACATGTAGACACCCGTCGAGGAAGAAAGCAGTTAGCGTCAGTTTGGCATCGGCCGCCGGTCCGAACCATGAGAAAAATACTTGAGATTCACCTCTATGCAGCTTGACGTTGCCACTTGCAACGATAAGGAATCCGATCCTTGTATCTTTCTGTAGGGCCTTTTGCAATTATTTGTGTATGTCCTCACTCAAACACTTTTCCATGTCCATTATTTATTTCACCGCAGGACAACAACGCTCTCTTCGGTGCTCTTTCGCGTTTCCTGGCAAACTGACGCGTCGTTCCTAAATCTTGCCAACGAAACATGCCGACACTTTTCTACACGTTTATAGACCTTCAGATCTCAGGCGTTATTGGGATATCGCTTATCTTTCTAACGGTCATCTTCTCTCATCTCGTCAAAAGATGCTTAACTTGGTACACCTTCTGCGTTTCCTGGATACTTTCCTGCATTTCGTACTCTTTGCTATTTTTCGTTGGAGGAAGTGATCCGAATTATGTCCCAAATCAGGATCTCTGTATTACTCAAGCGGCACTGATATACTCAGTACCAACGCTGTAGGTACCCCCTTGTGCAAGTATCCTGTACTTACTCTTAATCTTCATCTGACTTCAGCACCGCACTTACTACGCTTTCACTCCTGGTCCATGTGTGTTCTTCAGAGTTCCTGATTTGTTTTACACTTGGATAATTCTCTGTAGAACTGGTACAACGTTCATTTTGGAATCTCGAGATCTCCATTAGAGGCTAATCACAAGACCATCGTTGCTGTGAGTCTCTCGAAAAATTTCTGAAATATGCCTCATGAATGTCTGTGTAGCTCCTCGCAGCGCCATATATCGTATGGTTCTTCATGTTTCTCGGCTTCCTGCTGGTGCGTATGGGGGTTTTCAACTGTTAGGCAGCTTCTTCTACCATCTCCTCAGTTCGGTCTAACGCATTCATCGCTCGTTATTCGACTCGGTGACTCGTCACATTGCATAATTATTAATGCAATTCCGTGACTACCTTTACTGTCAAACGTGATATCTTACAAACCATTTTGCAGGGCTAAGATATCCTCACTTTTTGTGGTTATCGTCACCTCCTCGATGCTTCCAGTGCAAGGTTCGCTTAACCCGTGTATAAGGTATCTCAAGTAATGATTATTAATATTTCCCCCAGTATCCCTCGGTCTCTCTCTTTGCCGCAACCTGTACGACAACGATTCGACAAGTACTATTTCAATACCTACGCTACAGGTGGTCATTCGTGTCATGATATTTAGCTTCCTCACCCTTGTATCGTTCACGTACGTTCTCCCGCTGAATCTCCACCAACCATGATTAACAATAAATTTTAGCGAAGGTGTTATATACATATTTGATTTATCTCCAGGGCCTTTCGTCGATATCATCATGGCGTGGTGTATGTCCTTCTTTGTACCTTTTCGACTGCTTCATGAGACTCTGATTCGCATTGTAGTACCTGTGTTTGGGGTGCTTATCTTCGGGATGCAAAAGGTTCGTTAGACTGTCATCAGTTGATAAGGAGGATTAACACTGTATAGGACATCTTTCGTACCTGGATCTTATGGGCAAATTGGCTTTTGAAATCTCCAAAGAAGCCTTACCGCAAAAGCTCTACGCCATCCCTCACACCCGATAATTCCGTTCGAAGTGACTAGAAGTCCATTCTTACCACAGCTCCTCAAGCAATCTCTGTATCAGTCAGTATCAACACCGATGTAGCTTATAATGTCTTGATAGATCGAAGCCATTCATGGTATGCCGTTATCAGTATCTCTTGCGACTCTTAATGAACCGCAATTTCTTCTACATGGAAACGTGCACAACGCAACTGGGCCAGAAACTGAGCTTCAACAACCTGTTGGTTCCCATTCATCCGGCCGCAAGGAAATGTTGACCGTAGGTTCTGCATCGGCCAAGAGTCTCCCTACCTTCTAATTCATGCATCTGTTAACCCGACGCCGCACTCCTGCGGTACCTCCATAGTTTCTGGATACAGCAAGGCTTTACGATGACAAACGTCCTCGCGGGTACCCCAATTTTTTTCAAACCGACATTTTCATTGTTTTTGACCGTCTCGGTTTCTATGATTTCTTTCTCATTCCCATGTCTATGGTCTGCTCCAGGTCCGTTCGCCGTTGGTATGTACTATAGCTGCAGCTCTCACCAGTTTAAAAATAGTGATGTAAATTTAACTCAAGCGACTTTGATATATATTTTCGTCACTGTGTGCAATGATTCCGCATCCGATTGGCCATACTGATAGTTGAACGGAGCTGCTGCCGCCTCTATACCGTTGCATGTACAAGTAGATGATCTGAACGAGCTCGCAGCTGATGTGAATCGACTTCGAGAAGAATTCGACACCGTGTACAACAACGCGGGTCACATTGTAGACCAACCAAATCAGACATTGAAACAATGACACTGCGACGCTTTGCTGATAGAGTTAAATATGTTCACTGCATAAGATACCATTAATGCGTGGATGTTTCGCAATGCTTTGGAGACATAAACAGATACAGCTTGAAACAACGCTGCGATTTACGGTGCTGTGAAGAAAAGATAGCAAGGAGCAATGAGTGATACAGATACATATCCACGAACATAGGTTACATAAGGTATAGATGAAAACATGAAAACATTGTCCGTGTGGTATTCCATATCCTCCTTGTCACACCTCATTAGTCCGAATCTGGACTTTCGTTGCCCCACCGATAGACGTAGCAACGATAGCCTTCCGAGGCTCTAGCTTATATTTCTGTTTAGCTTTGGCTTTGTGCTTCTTGATTTTTGCCTTGCATTTCTCGCACATCGTACCTTGAACGTTTCCTGGTATTGTCCGATGACACGATTTGTTCGCACACGCTCGCTGCTCGTATTATCAGTGGCCATCGTAGATATGAAGAAGACTCTACTCACTGCGGGGAGGGTTGTCGGTCCGGTGTCCTCAGGTGACGGTCCAGGATTCAGCGGGAGATTCTCAACTACAGGTACCACTAGTGCTGTTTGCAGCTCCAAGGAGTCCATAGAAACTTCCTTTACAGCCGGCTCCTTCATGAACCGGTTAGTGAGTGTCGTAGATGATGGGGCTGGGGCACCCCGAGGAACCTGGATAAGTATATGTAACTCGCCATCCACAGCCTTTCGTTTCCGAACTTTGGCCTGATTTTGATAAAGATGATTATTTCACAGATCACGAGAGGGACAAGGAAACTTACATCTGGATTGTAATAATTGAATGACATATTCTGAGAAGTTGATGTCTGAACAGCTGGATCGATGATGACGGGCGGTTCGGTCGACATTGATGTATAAGGTGATGGTCGAAACACATTGTGGTGCGGATGGGATGGGGGAGGCGCCATGGCTACAGTCACCGAGTTTCCCAACTGAGCGGCAGACGGTGTCGGTTGTGTGGAGCTAAAGGAGGCTGGCGGATTTGAGGAGGCAGCAGACTTCGTTCGAGGCGACGACTGTTTAACGTTCGACGTCCTCGCCGAGCTTTGCCGCTGCGACGACGATTGTTGGATCGTTTGAGCAGGAGTTGGAATAAATGGACCCGGGAGCACCGGTGCCGAGACTGACGAAGATCCCGCAACCGAACGAGAATATGATGGATAGTGGCCCCCGCCATAGGGGGGATAATAACGAGATGAATATGGGTATTGAGAATGAGGCATCGCATAGGGCGGTGGATATGGATACGGGTAAGGATGTATGTATGGCTGAGCATTTGCGTACACAGGAAACTCCCCCGACCCGGTGGGCATCGGCGGCGGCAGACCATAGAGATATGGCGGTAGATAATATGGGTAAGGATACTGGGCATGCATCGGAGGGGGGTACGGATAAGGGATAGGATGGGAAGTTTCGGGATGATGCTGCGTCGGCGCAGACGTTGATGCTTTCGGTGGGGGTGCGGACGAAGATGGGAGTGCTGTAGGTGATGTGGAAGCTCCATCCACTTTCTTCCTCTTCTTTCGTGCAGATGCGACGGCGTCATTCGTAGCAGAAGGTATGGGGTCACCGACAATAGCCGTGAAAAGTGGTGCTTCTTTGTCGTTGGTCTAGGTTATGGTGATCCCTTAACGAGTGAAGCTAGTGTGAAAGAGCGAGATTACTTTACCTTCTTCAGTGATCCTTTGGAACCTGGCCTTTCCATGTTAGGACCAGTAGCTGGTGTAGGAGGTGCCGCTGAGATTGAGTCTACCTCATTTACAATGGCTTCAACAGCAACAGGGGCGGACAGCTCGGGATTTGGTTCAACGCCATCTAGGAACAAGCTGCGACTTTCTTCTACATTTGGTGTCAAACAGCCCATAGGACTTTCGTCAACGTTGGCATTCGGCTGATTTACGTTCTCTCCACCATCGATTGACGCATCTCCAGTGTTAGATGAGATAGCCATACCTACATCAATCCCGCTGGTTCCAGCGACTGGAATATGGACGGGGGGCGAATTGGGAGCAGTAGCATCAGTCTGTGCTTGAAGCTGCCAAGCCTTCTCCGCATTCCTCAATTCCTGTTCAACTTCCGCTCGACGACGTGCTTGCAAGGCCTTCCTTTGCAGCCTACAGGGATCACACATACGCCACTGAACACCGGGGCCAATGAGATTGTGACAGTCTTTGGACGTGCAGCTATACGATCTCCTCCCCTAAATTGAACGAAGCGGAAGTGTGAGACGTGTAACTGATGTATTACGAGTTCACAAACCTCCTTGTCGGCCATAAACGGAATGTTTGCAGCCTCCGCTTCTGATTCCACGCCAGCATCTTAAGTCTTTTCGTCCTCTGGATCTATGCTATCTTCCCTGCCTTGTTCAAATGTCTCACCAATAGAACCCTCTGGAGGTCCGGCATTACATTTGACCACCTTTTCCCTGACTCTTTTGAGTTTGCTGTGATGCCTATTCTGGAGTCGGTGTTGCTCACAGCGTTTGAACATATAATGTCCAGGAAGAATCTTGTGACAATGGTAAACAGTACACATTCGAGGAGGAAGAACGGGTAAGGGAGGGAAGAAGTGGTTCACTGCCGTTGCCGTAGGCTGGTCAGTAGGAGTAGATGTGGTTGGGATTAAAGTGGAACCGATGGGTTGTTGGCTCCCAGTTGCTCTGATTAAGGTTGCGGGAGAAAGAGATGAGTACGCCGTCAAGAGAGTTGTGATGTCCTGAGGTACAGTTATCTTTTCGTCGATGATGGACATCTCCCATGTTTGAAGATCTTCCAGAGATTCACTCAAGGGCTATGAAAGCGTAAGTGTTGCGGTAATATTGCAAATAATGCAAGCTTACGGCCAATCCTGCATCCTTGCACCTTTGATCTTCCACCTCTCTGAGTGTTTCCAGCTCTTGCTCAAATGCAGCACGTTCAGCTTTTCATTTAGCGCGCTTAGTGATACCGTAGGAACGATAACGATTATGACAAGGTTCACACATCTTATACGCGTAAGACCCTAAGCTGATTGTTTAATGGCTAGAAGATTATATTTTGAAATGTGCATACCAGCGATGATAGTTTTGCATCCTTTGACTGAACAAAATCTAGGTGGGAGAGAAGGAGAGTCGTCTTCATTGGTCGTTGGGACTTGGGATAGTACTATAGAAGGTGCACGACGTTTGCGTTTCTTTGGGGGACACTGGGGCGGTGGATCACGATAATACGAAGTCCTCTGCTCCAAGGATTCGCCTTCGCTGTATTCGTTGGTGGGGGGCTTGTAGTGAGTACCGGACTTTGTAGGCGCAGGAAGCGTCAGGGCGCCAGCCAGCTCAGAGCTCGAACTGTTTGACTGTGACCCGAACAAGCGAGGATTAATGGTACTGGCATCCCAGGAGCTCTCGGTTGCAGATGTGCCAGACTGCGAGAGGGCTTCAGAGGCGAACGATGTCGTGAATGTCTGTGGCGGTGGATCAATGGGTTCAATTCTCTGGCCGTCGGGCTAGAAAGAATGTAGATATTATTCAGTGTACAGTGTATAGAAGTGCTGACATACCTGACGGTCAGTACGCTCTTCCTCGTTTACGTTTGCATTGCCTGGTATCCAGGCAGTGGACCCCGGAATTTGCTCAATGAGTATGGTGGTCTGGCCAGATATTGCTGCCTTTTCGAGCTTCCTCCGTGCGCGTTTGGTCGAGGCGTATATCCTATGCTATTCGTCCAAGGCTTTAGACGACATTACGCTCGTCACTGGTGGGAAGACACACCTTGCCCCCACGTGACTCACACATCTTGTTTGGGGAATTTACATCGAGCATCTGCCCGCATCCTCTGACGGTGCGTCGTCGGTGAGCTGGGTATTGTAATTGGGACGTGTTCACCATGTCGCGGGACGTACCAAAGTCAGATAACATGGCTCGCGGTCTAGTAATGGTTCGGTACCAGATTTAAGAAGAGAAGATGATCGTACATTAGCTTTCCTTCATCCCATGTCAGTAGCACGTTGCCAGGCTTGAGGTCCAGGTGCAATATAGACTTGTCATGCTGAACAGATTGAGACGGATCCTTGCCCAGGCGATGGCCACTTTACCAGAAAAGACAATCCCTCTACGACGTCTGTAAAGATGCTTTTTACTTCCTCTGGACTGAGGAGATGCACTGCAGTCCACGTTTGCGTCCCCTGACGCGCTTGTCCATTCATATGTTGTCTGAGCTGCTCCTTTTCCTCTGGTGAGGCGTGCTGGAATGCCCTGTATGCACGAATCCTTGCTGAACGCGAGTTAATGTTTGACGTTGCGCCATTACCATTCAAGGCGCCATTGGGGTTGATATGGATGTGTCGAGTCTCGCGTCCAAGACGCTCATCGATAAAGTCGTCGAGGCTAGTGTGGATTCAAACGGATGCATCAGTGGGTGAAACTATGCCCACCTTCCACCTTCAGCCCATTGCATGAGAATGCTAGCCCACGGTAAGTTAAAGGAACAGGAAATGGACGTCGAAGCTCAACTGTAATGTGGGAACCCGGGGACCGAACGAAGAGAATTGAGCGCTTTCGAGCCAGGAGTGGCTGAAAGAAGATGGAGGCGTTACCGGTTGAAAAAAAAAGAAAAAGAAAAGAAGGGTGGAGGAATGTACTGGTACGTTATGATATTGGGATGATGAAGCCGCTCAAGTAGGCGAACCTGGTGGAAATGAGTTACATAGACTTTGGGATGAGAAGCGGCTAACTTCACGAAGGATGTTTAACAGGTACGAGTGAGATTGCCCGACTGCAACTTTTTTGACGGCAAAATGACCTAGTGGATTTCCGTCCAGGACATGCTGTGAAAGGGTTGGTCACAAAAGTCAAGTCAGAGCTGGAGTGATACCTGACAAAGGTATACGCTTCCATTTGCGCCCATCCCTAGCTTGCTCTCTTCGGTAAAGAAGGCCTTGAAATATCCATTTGCAAGGGCCTCTGCAGAGAAACCGCTGGCACCGTCGTCAGCCTCCATAGGTGGCGGCGTTGATGGCCTCGACCATGTATCATTCACGATGGACAGCAAGTGAAAATAATTCGATGCACGAGAATGAAACTCGGGGTCCGGTTCATCCTGGGACTCTGGTGGCAGCGGTCTCTTGCAATACGGACAGCCAGATCTCGGACGAGCTTGCGAGGACTGTCGGATAGCCAGAGCATGACTAGTGGGATTGTAGAGTACGACTTGGTTGGATGCGTGGAAGATGGCTTGCCAGGTAGGATCTGGGGGTACGAGTGCTGCGGTCTCGTCAATGTCCTCGTCGTCGTCGAACATGGTGCTCGCGTAGCTAATTGGATGGCACCACCTCGTGGATGTCCAATGACGCAACGAACATGTCTATATTCGGATATAGGTCATGGTACCGAGCATTTCTTGGCACTGAGACAGAGACGATATGCCGGCTCGGCAACAGGCTTTCTCCCCTGAAGGCTGTGCAACACATGATGAAAAAGCCTCCGCCTCCGACCGAGTAAGGTATGCCAAGCAGAACCAAGGACATCACATAATGTGACTGATCTGTGACTGTCTACGACTCATTGTAGTTGTGTCTTAATTTGTCTGCTGCCATCAAATCACAAATTTGCTATCTAAACTTGCTAAGCTTCAAAATCTGGACATCAAAGCCTGAGAATTTATGAAAAATAACATTATCTACAATCACTTGGAGCCAGATTTGGCATTTACTTCTATATGCAGGAGTAGATAAGTTTTTTGTGAAGATGTCATGATTTGTAACATATTTATCACATGATGTTCTTGATTGTGCTTTAGACATACCTTGTTTGGTACTTAAGCATGTGCTGGCAATGCTCATCCACTCCTTCACCTAAATGCTGCTTCATGGGCTGTGCAATGCCCTCACCCACAGGTGGCTATTGGCATCTGACCCCTCACATGCACATACTGCCTACTCCACCATCTTTCCCAGCTTCAAGAGCTAATGCTGCAGAGTGGAGTAGAAGCATGCTGATGTCACCATGTTCTCTGGCTTCACAAGCTAATGTTGCAGACCAGTATAAAGAGGAAAGAATGACTCATCTGTCAGTTGAACATGTTCCTCCCCTAATCTATAGCTTTGATTCACCAGACTCTTTTCTGTTGCCAATATCTGAGAGTTCCAGTCACAGTGCCTGTGGATGCAAGAGTCTGGTGTCTGCCACAAATCGACCTTCTATCCCTTCACCCAGATCCCAAAGGTACCTACTAGAGTCAGTGCAGACAACACTCCATGTTTGATCTCCTTCTGTTTCTGATATACAGTGATATCCCTCAGTGCAAGCTCTTGCTCTGACCTCTCAGAGTTACATTCTCATCTACCCACTCCACTATATACAAACACTCCAACTATCTCCTCCCCCATCCACCAGTGGTCATGACACCACTACTCTCATGCCCAGTAAATGTCTTATCTTTAGCTCATGAACTAAGCATAACACAATCAACTATGCATGCATATACTGCAAAAATCTCTCCCATCAATGCATGTCCCACTCAGACTCTTCACTGCAAGATACCTTCATTATCAATCTATTTTTAGAAGTTCCTGCTGAGATCCTACCACCTCTGCAGCAGAATGAGACAGAGGCTGATCAAAAAAATCTTTGGTTGGAAGTTGAAAATGATAATATTAATGTTGACCTATACATTGTTGGTGAAACACCTCTGAACACTCCAATTCCTTGGACGACTATACATCTCGAGTTATTTGGTACTAAAGAGAATTCTAGAACATTCTTTATCAAGGCTAGAATTGTAAGTCCTTTTGCTTCTCTTCAAAAATAATTCTATTTCTTATCTATTTGCACCATCCATGTTTCAGCATATGCCGAATCCCAACTGCCCAGCATTCCACTTGACTGCCAAAGCCCTTGATGGCTTTATCCTTTTCTATATTCCTCATTCTTACTATGGTATAATTATCATCAACTGTAGCACCAGTGACTTGAATGATCATATCATGCTATTGAGTGGGATGTATGACAGTTCTACAGTCATATCTAAATCAGGATAGGCAAGAAGCTATATTGTTGGTAAAAGGGATGACTGGTCTAGAAATAGGGATAAAATTGAGTTGACAATGCATAATGGAAAGGTCTTCTTGTGGTATGAGGATGAGAGAAGAAAGGACTGGTAGATGATAAAAGAGTGGTTTTTATGAGTTTGGCACTGTTAAGGTTCAACCTCAGTTTATGAACTGACATTGACAGTACTAATATTTGTTCATTGCTAGTAGAATAATATCTTTACCTCTATTGTTAGATAATTAGTTCATCCCAATGCAAGATCTGGGTTGTGCTTAATGCTGCAATGGCACAGAATTCTTGTGGCACAATCAGTGAAGTACTGTGATCATGACAGAGAAGCCTAAATCAAGGATTTGCCATGCTTATAACACTGTTAAGAACTTACATTCATTCAGGAGACCAAGTAGTACAGACTTTTATAACTAGTAAGCATCAATGAATCAAAGAGTACATTAGTTACACCACAAAGAAATGTTTCTGTCCAAATGCCATCATGAGATGGAGAAATCCACAAATAAGATAGATATACTCATAAATTCCACCTGTATATCTGCAAGGCTGGCACAATCAAGAGGAAAATTCTCACCATGATTCTGATCAAGAATATCAGATAAACACTCTTGTTTTCATGTTTATGATGTACATACACAGCATCACAACTGAATGTTTAGATAGCGTCATGTTTTTCTGCCCATGGCACTTGGAAGTAGGTGACCACAAACCCTTTATCAGAGTACATTAGGAATTTGCACTAGCTGAATAATAGGTCTCAACATACCTCTGAGTGTTCATGTCAGATTAATCAAGGCACTGATTTCGCTTTGGTGCTTTGAGAAGCAATTGCTGCAATACGCATCTGATAAAGTGTTGGTCTGAGGCAAGGAGTAAAATCCAAGCAAGTATGCACATATGGCCACAGTATTGATCATAGTAGCCAGCTCTGCAATGCCTCAGCCCATAACAATACCAGCAGTATTCAGATGTTTCTTAATTGATGCACTGAAGGTGATGAAACTGCAAATATATAAAGGTAAAGAAATATAACAAGCTCTATCACTTCACTCAGCATGGAAAAGCAACATCCAAGCAAATAGACTCACCAAAGTTGACTCTCAGCCTCAAAAACACCATGGTTGCATCTGATACTCATATTCATGATCCAATCATTAGTATATAATGACTGATGAGTTCACCAAAAAGTACCACTACCTGGCATGCAAATGATGCCAACATTTAGAGAGGGAGGAAAACACTCATGATAGGGGTGCCATATGCTCCAGTGATCGCATTCTGGCTCCACCCAAACCCAACTGGACAAGGAGTTTCCAAGAACATGACATTTGTAACCTAAATCAAAGCAGTCAGACCAAGATATCCATATCGTATGCAAGGCATCATACATTGAGATTAATACTAAATTTAAACAGGACATCTTTGAATAGAAGAGCACCAAGAATATGGGGATGCCATACTATGTTGATTGGTGAAAGAATTGATTCCACTCAAGACATGTGGTATTTGGCCATTTTAATCCTGGTAACACTGATGAGCATTTCGATTCTGTAGTGAAACCCTTTGGTAGGTGATTCTGGGACAGGTTTCATGGTTCGATTGTATGTTCTAGAATGAGTCAGTGAAAACCGAGGGTATTTTGATCAGATTGTGTATGTTTTGTCTATGAACAGAGTGACTAGAATACAGATGATGGCACTATAGATGCAGTCAATTCTATGGGCCCATCTCCAGCTTTGTTGGGTGACAAAAAAACTGAAAGCAAAAGGAGAGAGAAATAGAGAGACTGTTACACGCATGCTGCCAGCCTCCGTGTCACCTCAACCAACCACGAATTCTATCACACTACCCACCGGACTCCGGCCGCTTCCCATTACCTACTAATTTCATTTCACCATTATCATTTCACATCTGTATTTCACATTGTAATACCTAGACCCCGAACTCGGTAGCGAATATTCACACCAGAACCCAATGGAACCCGACTCGGAATTAGCTACCATTAGTATATAAAGCCATGTATATCACTGTAACTACTCAGTTCGAATATCAACTTGGATAAGCCCACACTTCGCACTCACTTCAACTCCTCACTACCTCGTCCGTCGGATTCCACTCCGAAGGACATTCCGGTTCACTTCTCTGATGAATCTCCATCCTGTCCATCCAGATCCTTGGGCCCCGACTCAAGGGTGATGTTGCCAATAGCTTCGTTGACGCCCATGCACTCCGCTGGACTCCGCGCGTGCACTCAAGCCCACTCGATTGGCATGTTCCTAACAGTATATTCGAACTCAAACCCTTGAGTCGAAAATTTTATCATGTCCACCACATTTACTGAACCCACAGAGACCGATTCTGAACAAAGGCAGCCCACCCATCCAAACATGTTTTCCATGGAAGACATTCCGGCATCTGCCTCAAAGGAACAACCAGGCCTGTTCGGATCAGCCTCCAGTGGGGGACAACCTTCCCGTAGGGAAACCTACAATCACTCTAGCTTCACTGCCTGCCAACCTAATTACGACGATTCCCCTAACCCTTTCGACGCCACCAGCATCCCAACCAACAGGGCCTGACAGGCCAGCCTGATGTATGGCGCCCGAACCGACCCCCCAATAGACCCCTTATCCCTGGGCAACAACCATGGGAATCCAGACAGCCCAGACTCAGAGGGCAGAAATGAAGACACTCCTACTCATACTCCCATCTGACGGGAACCAGCTGGCAATCCACCAAACCCTTTCTCAGGTGGACCAGGAGGACCAGGAGGACCAGGAGGACCAGGTGGTCCCAATGGCTCAGGCAGTGCTGACGGCCCCACAGGAAGTAACAATCCAAACCAGCAGGACATGTTCCTAGAATTCATGAACCTGTTACGAGGAGTCTCTGCCTCCCTCAACAACCCTAAACCAGCCACTGTCCATACCAAGGTCAAGGAACCAGAACCATTTGATGGCTCTGACCCTCACAAACTAAAGGCTTTCATTGTCTCCCTTCAGTTGAACTTCAACAACAGACCTACCGTGTTTGCAACGGATGCTAACAAGGTTAACTACGCCATTTCATTCCTGGCTGGCACCGCGCTCAACTGGTTCGAACCAGACATTCTTAACCCTAATCCGCGGAATCCACCAGCCTGGCAATTCTCCTATGCAGCCTTCTTAGATGAGCTTCGTAGCAACTTCGGCCCCTTTGATGCTATCAGAGATGCTGAAGATGCATTAGAACACCTTCGGATGCGTGATGGTGATCGGATCATGAAGTATATGGTTCAATTCAACCAGTACGCTTCACAAATTAGGTACAGAGATAACTCCCTCCGCCATGCCTTTTACCATGGCCTCTGCACCTGTATCAAGGATGACATGGCACACCATGGGAAGCCAAACAACCTTCGTGATATGCGCTTCCTTGCCCAAGAACTTGATGCTCGCTACTGGATCCGGAAGACCAAAATTGCCCGTGAAAACCAGGACAATAAATTCCTCAACCCCAAATCCAAGGGGTCTAACACTTCTTCCTTGGACTCCAGCTCCACACTGAAATCTACCGCCCCTAAGTCCTATGCCGACAAGCTAGGCAAAGATGGCCATCTTACTCAGGAAGAAAAAGACCGCCAGCGCTAGAACAACCTTTGCATGTTCTGTGGAGCCAAACACAAGACTGAGGACTGCAACAAGCGGAAGGCAGCAGCCTCTGCCAAGGGGCGTGCAGCAGAGGTCGACACCACTCCCGTGGAACCGGCTCTGACGGAGTCAGAAAACTAGGAAGCAACCCTGTTCCCTCCATGCGAGTTCAGGGTTGTGTCGACTGTATTCGCACACCGGAGGTCATCACTCTCAATGCAACATCCCTTTCCAATCACTCCTTCCACATTCCCCTCTCAGCAGAATTGCCGACTACTACGGAACCTGATGGTTCCTCAACTTGTATCATCCTACGTTTTCTTGCCCTTATTGATTCTGGCTCTAGCCACTGCTTTGTTGACACTAAGTATGTAGCTGCCAATGAAATCCCCATTAAAACCATCCCTAGTGTGCAACTTCGATTATTTGATGGCTCTATCAGGAGCCGTATATCTCAAATCGCAACCATCCCCATCTGTTTCCCATCTGGAGACACCTTCCCCATCGACTTTTATGTCACTCCTCTGGATTCGTCTTGCAATCTTGTCCTAGGATACAACTGGCTCTCCCGCTACAATCCACTGATTGACTGGGCTGAGAACAGTATCATTTTCCATTCAAGCTACCAGGATCCCACTCCAACCAATTCCGCAGCCTCCACCGCATCCCAGGGACTTCCGTGCCCACAGGACAACAGTCCATTTTTTTCCGAGCCTTCCAGCTCAAATCCAGGACTTCTGTGCCCACAGGACAACAGTCCACCCCTTTCCGAGCCTTCCAGCTCAATTTCGGGACTTCCGTGCCCATCGGACTCTATCAGTCCAACTTCCGGGGCTTCACCCCATTCCAAGTCCACATTGGGTAGCCGGCGGACTTCATTCCCGTATGAACCCATCTACTCCTATCCTCCCTCAGAATCTTTTACTACGAAAGCACACCCAAAGATCTCCATCATATCCGCTGCCGCATTCATCTGAGCCAGTGCAGAAGAAGGCACTCAGCAGTTCACACTGCAGCCTTTTTTGCCTAATATTGGAGCCAAAGCCGCATCCGCAGAACCGGCAGATCTTTCATCAGTGCCAGTAGAGTACCACGATTTTGCAGATGTCTTCAGCGATACCCTCTCCGAAAAACTACCTGAACACAGACTGTACGACCTCAAAATCAACCTTGAGGAAGGGACATCCCCACCACTTGGACCCATTTATTCTCTCTCAGAATCTGAACTCAAAGCTCTACGAGAGTTTATTGATGATAATCTGCGCAATGGGTTCATTACTCCGTCCCGCTCTCCACACGGGGCTCCAGTTCTATTCGTCAAGAAAAAGACCAGTGAACTCCGACTT